AAGTGACTTTTTGTACTATATGATTGATTTTTCAATATAATTGCAAGATTCAAAAAACTTTTTGAGAAAATAAAGTAGTAAATTTTGCATATTATACTAGCTTTTAAAAAATGGTCTCCTTTTCCATAAACAAATGGCCATGCATCTTGGTCTGTATTAGTCTAACAGGCCAGCATGTCTCCCCAACCCACCTGTAACTTCATCTTTGTCATGTCAGTTAGACACTGTTAGGACAGTAGAACCACCCCTGTAGTGGTAGTCTGAGCTTTCTGCCAGCATATTCTGACTTTTTCTTCCTCTGGGTATTGGTACCCATATCCCCTTTAGGAAACTTCTTCCATAGTTCATGTGGATTGTGGTGTCTTTGCCTGGGCTCCTCAGAAGACAGGACCTGAGGGAAATGGCTTATGTGCTACTCCCTTATTAGGATGTGCAGTCTCAGGGATAAGAAGGAAAGGAAGGGGAGCCAATATAAGAATCAAGCTATCCTCCAAGAAGCCATTTAAACAGTGATCTTCTGGAGGAGAAAAAGGAAAGAATTTATCTGTCAACTTCCATCTCTTTTAGGTCAAAGGTTTGCCCAAGTTTACACAACAAGAATGATGGGTCAAAAATTCAAATTCAGGAAGTCTGGCTCTACAGACTTAGAGCCTCTTCACGGGATGCTCTTCTGAATGTTAGTCAGTGATAAGAGTGAAGAAGAAAATAGAAGCAAAGACAGGGTGTAGGGGATGTTGTAAGGAGCAGGTGAGGAAGGACAGGATTTGCAATTTTTGATTGACCTGGGAAGGCTTCATTGAGGTGATACTTGAGTAAAGATCTGTAGAACAAGCAGCTCTTTAGGGCAAGAGCATGCCAAGAATTGCAAAAAAAAACCTGAAATGGTGTCTTTGAGGAACAATGAGGTAATTATGGCAGCAGCAGTATGAGTGAGGGGGAGAGCAGTGGGAGATAAGATGAGAGAAAAGTTTGGGTACAGAGTCTGCAGAACCTTGTACGCCATTTTAAAACATTTAGCTCTTACTAAGATGGGAAGCCACTGGAGGCTTTGGAGTCAGAAGTGATGTGCTCTGACTTAAACAATAGTAAGGTCATTGTGATAATGGAGTAGAAAGGGTCTGAGGTGGAAGTAGGAATAAGTAGTTAGAAGGGTTTTGCAATTTATAGGTGAGAGAAAATAATGGACCAGGGTGGTGGAGGTGATGAAGAGCAAATGGGTTGTAGATATATTTTCAAAGTAGAAGCAGGTTTTGCTGATTGATTATGACAAAAACAAACAAACAAACAAACAAATAGAAAAAGCCTTATATTGGGAAATCTAAATAGACATTTTAACTCATGAGACAAAGAAGAAATCTTGATGAACATCTAAAAAGGAAATACTGTATTTACAATCAAAGCAAAATGTGTGAGATACAGCTAAAGCATACTTGAAGGAAATGTATGACCTTAAAATACTTAAATTACAAAAGAAAAGAGGCTAAAAATTAATGTGTTAAGCTTCCAATTTGAAAGGTTAGGAAAATAATAGCAAAATAAACTCAAAGAATTAAAAAGAAGGAAATAGGAATTATAAGAACAGAAATTGATACAATATTTGATACATACAAAACAGAGTCAACAAAGTAAAAAACTCGTTTTGAAAACATTAATAAAATGGATATATCTGGCTACACTGATTAAGAAAGAAATGGTAAATGTAAAATAATACTAAAAATAAAGGAAAGATAAAAATACAGATACTGAGGAATTAAGAAGATAATAAGGATTAGTAACTTTGTGCTAATAAATATTATAATTTAGATAAATAGAATGGTCAAGTTCACACACTTAAGTAACTTAGGATGGAATCAAGAAGATTCATTATGGAATGACTCTTCCATAATGAATCCCATAATTGTAGAAGAAAGAGAGTCAATAGTTAAAATCTCCCCACAAAGATAACACCAATATCAAATAGTTTTATTGGCAAATTCTACCAAATGTATAAGTAGCAAGTATTTCAGAATACAAAAAATAGCAACAGTTTCTAACTCATTTCTTGAGGCTGGGCTAAACTTAATACTAAACCTTGACAAGGTACATATAAGAAATAGCATGTTAATTTCATTTATGAACATACATGTAAAATCCTAAAGAAAATAGTAACAAATTGAATTCAGCAATCTATAAAAAAAAGATAATATGTTGTGACCAATTTGGATTGGTCCATGAATGCATATTAGTTTAACATCTCAAAAAAATCAATTAATGTAATTAACACATAGCCAGTGAAAAGGATAAATAATCATATGAGCACATCTCAATAAATGCAGAAAATAGAGCCTTACGTGATTCAGTGGACATTCAAGAAAAAAATCTTAACAAAATAAGATTGATAGGAAGCTCTGCAGAACATTTATATCCCACACAGACTGTTAGAAAACTAAGCAAGCTGATTTATAAATGTATATGAAATATCAAAGGGCTAATAAGAGCCATTTTCCAAAGAAGAATAACAAGGTGGGGTAGTTGCCCTATGAGATATCAAACTTTATTAGATATAAATGTATTATAATCAAGGCAGCATGGTACTGTGCAGGGTAGGGAAACCAGCAATTGAAGAGAGTAGAGTACGTAGAAACCGATGCACACTTATATGGAATTGTGGTATTTTATAGCGTGGTCGTTGCAGTGGGGGATTAACTGCTGCCAGGACAATTGTTTTGCAGATAGAAAAAAATGAAACAATTGAGACCTTGGCTTAACAACATCATCTCTGATCATCTATTCCCTCATTTACACTTCTTCCACAAATATTTATTTTTGTGACTGGCCATACCATCCACCCAGGTGCTTAAACTACAAACCTGGGAATAATCAATCCTTCCCTCTCTTTATCCCCCAGATATCATGTTCTGTTAATCCTTAAGTTTTGTATTTTGCCCTGTCCTTTTACGCTTCCTTGACTGCCCTAACCCCTATGGAGGCTTCAGCTCCACTACATGGCATTTCTTTTTTTTTTCCTTTTTTAATTTTTAATTTTTTATTAACATATAATGTATTATTAGCCCCCAGGGTACAGGTCTGTGAATCGCCAGGTTTACACACTTCACAGCACTCACCATAGCACATACCTTCACCAATGTCCATAACTCCACCACCCTCTCCCTACCTCCCTCCCTCCCCCAGCAACCCTCAGTTTGTTTTTTGAGATTAAGAGTCTCTTATGGTTTGTCTCCCTCCCAATCCCATCTTGTTTCATTTATTCTTTTCCTACCCCCAACCCCCCATGTTGGATCTCAACTTCCTCATATCAGGGAGATCATATGATAGTTGTCTTTCTCTGATTGACTTATTTAGCTAAGCATAATACCCCCTAGTTCCAGCCACGTCGTCGCAAATGGCAAGATTTCATTTCTTTTGATGGCTGCATAGTATTCCATTGTATATATATACCACATCTTCTCTATCCATTCATCTGTTGTGGACATCTAGGTTCTTTCCATAGTTTGGCTATTGTGAACATTACTGCTATAAACATTTGGGTGCACATGCCCCTTCAGATCACTACATTTGTATCTTAAGGGTAAATACCCAGTAGTGCAATTGCTGGGTCGTAGGGTAGCTCTATTTTCAACTTTTTGAGGAACCTCCATGCTGTTTTACAGAGTGGTTGCACCAGCTTGCATTCCCACCAACAGTGTAGGAGGGTTCTTCTTTCTCCACAACCTCGCCAGCATCTGTCATTTCCTAACTTGTTAATTTTAGCCATTCTGACTGGTATGAGGTGGTATCATATTGTGGTTTTGATTTGTATTTCCTGATGCCGAGTGATGTGGAGCTCTTTTTCATGTTTCTGTTGGCCATCTGGATGTCTTCTTTGCAGAAATGTCTGTTCATGTCCTCTGCCCATTTCTTGATTGGATTATTTGTTCTTCGGGTGTTGAGTTTGCTAAGCTCTTTATAGATTTTGGGTACTAGCCCTTTATCTGATATGTCGTTTGCAAACATCTTCTCCCATTCTGTCGGTTGTCTTTTGGTTTTGTTAACTGTTTCCTTTGCTGTGCAAAAAGCTTTTGATCTTGATGAAGTCCCAATAGTTCATTTTTGCCCTTGCTTCCCTTGCCTTTGGCGATGTTCCTAGGAAGAAGTTGCTTCACATGAGGTAGAAGAGGTTGCTGCCTGTGTTCTCCTCAAGGATTTTGATGGATTCCTTTCTCACATTGAGGTCCTTCATCCATTTTGAGTCTAATTTCATTATACTGCATTTCTAAGTTAGGTTCTCCTCCCCTGTCGTCACGTCATACCCAGTACTCTGTTGCTATTGTATTTATACTATTGTAATTGCCAGTTTATTTCTCAGTAAATTTCTGAAGATCTGCTGCAAATTCCTTGTGGAAGAGTATTCTGTCTAGTTCAGTTTTATTTCCAGTGTCTACCACTGTGCGTGGAATATAGTAAACCATCAATTGATATTTAGAAAATGCATAAATAAATAAATGAAAGAAAGATACACAGTGAGTGAGTTCTGCAACTAAAACATAGGAGATTGGTTTAAGTTCTTTTGTCATCTCATTTTGGTTTTTGGAGAGTTCCTCAAATGTATTCTTCTTTGCCAAATATATCTAGTTTAAGATAATACTGCATCAGGCTATGATAAAACCACTGTTCATAATTCTCCACACTGATTAAAGATACTTCACACACAAGCAAAAATATCCCAAGCTAATTCAGTTTTATCTTTTTAGAATGTTGATTCTCTGAGAGGAACTAAGTCTTCTATATTGTGACACAACACAGGTTTTACACACATTTAAAAAATTACTAATCTTAAAATTGTTCCTTTTTAATTAAATGAGACATCAATTAGAATTGTCTGGAACATCTTAGATAATCCCCAATACATTTTTTGATGCATGAATGAAAAATTAAAGGTGTAAGTTCTGTGTTTAATTTTTTTTATATCTAGAAATGACTGTTCTTACTTATCATCACATTCTTGTCATTTCTTTCTGAAGGAGTTTGATTGGCCAATAGAAGGACTGCTTATTCCAAACAGTCCTCCCATGAAGAAATCTATCTGTAAGACCCCAGAGCTGAGTGTCCCTGTGAGGCTCAGAGTTCTACGGAATGGAGACAAGAATAAAAACAGAGCCTTTGTTATAATTGGTCCAGACATCTCACCTGGACGGAAAATACAGTAAGAACATTTTGCTCATACTTCTCATTTCTAATTTCTACAAATTTTTGTCGTCTTTATGGATGTGTTTCTGGGAGAATTCTGTGTTTATTTTTAAAAAGGGATCCCAAGGTGCCTGGGTGGCTCCATTGGTTAAGCGACTCTTAATTTTGGTTGAAGTTATGATCTCAGAGATGTAGGGTCCTAGGATCAAGCACTGCCTCAGTCTCCATGCTCAGTGGGGAATCTGCTTGAGATTCTCTCTCTTCCTCTCCCTTTGCCCCTCCCTCTACTCACTCTATCTCTTAAATAAATAAATCTTTAAAATAAATAAATATACAAATTAATTAATTTTAAAAAGGGCTCCCATGTTGATATTTGGAGATAAAAATACAAACTGAGATTTAATTAAAACTTGTCAGGAACTTAATTTTAACTCTTCTGGTTGAAGCTAAGCACAGGAGAAAATAATGAGTTAGAAATGGGTAATTCAGATATAAAAAAAGTTCTGGGATCAATGTCTATTTTGAATTAGCATTTTTGCTTAAGTTTTATTAATGTGTTTCAAAATAACTGAATTCATAAATTGCTTCTTGCATATTGTGTAATTCCTTATGTAAATTATTATTGTACATTATTATTTACATTCAGATCTTTGGGATATTTAACAAGTGCATATAGTTCTCAAAATATAACTTCATATAATTTATATCTCTGCCTTGGAATAACATTTTAAAAGCTTATCATTTTAGAAAAACATCAATCTGCATTTTAGCTTATGTTATAAGATTGGAATAAAATCCTCCCATGTAGCCAGTATATCTCCAACATTGGAGAAAAATCACTTGCTGTATTTTCATTACAATTTATGACAGAAGAAATCACAGACCAGTGCAAAGCTGTAATGTAAGGAATGAGTTAAATACATTGTTTCTCATATTATTAGCAGTGATGTTACCTCCTGACCTTTCTTTTGAGATATTTAGAATATTTGAGGCTGCTGATAATCGTTTAATATTACTTTCTTCACATTGATTAGATATACTTCATACATCGCTGAACAATGAGTAACATTCAGATTGGCTGTCCACTGAACTGCCTGTAAAGATGATAAAGTAAAATATTAATCTTCAAAGTAAAGTCAAGCCTGAAATTGAAATCTTTGACGCATACATTTCATAATTAGCTCATTCTGCTGGATGTAAAATGTGAGGGTAATGCCCTTAAAGTAGCATATATGACTTTTTAACATCCAAAGTTAATAAATGATTTTTGTCCCTTCCTCCATTTATTTTTTCACGCTATATCTTTCACTGGGGCTCAAAATTATATACAGATTTTATCGTTTCCCATTAATGTCTTAAAATGCATAGTTCAATCAGGTAATCCAAACATAATTTGAGAGATTTGTTAATTTGGACAACAGTTCCAGCAGAAAGTATGTGAAACCCTCTGATCGTGGAATGGTTTGCCCTAATTAATCAAGTATTCACTTTGTTCACTACATGAATTAATTACCACCCCCCCCAAATTAAAGTACACTGGCATATACTTGACATTAAACTCTTCTAAATATACATTAATTTTTCTCGGTCATTTCAGAAAATTTTCTACAGAATCAATAGCATTGTTTGCCCCAGAGCTGTATGTAAATACTGGTTAACAGAAGGTTCAAATGGGAAGAGTTTTGGCTAACATTACAGGGCAGCTGCATTTCCCAGTTCCAGAGGACACTTTTCACATTATGTTCTATACAAACAGCATCCCAGAGTTGTGCAAAGTAGAAGTCCTGCTGTGCTACTTTTCATATATCCAAGCTAAATATTTTCTCTTTCAGAAGAAATAAATGCTAATGACAGGAAGGGGTACATTACTTGTATTAACTTGAAACTTGTTTGTAAGAAGAAAGATAGCTGGGCTATTTTGTGTCTTTACAAGCAAAATCAAGCTAGAATGATGAAGTACAGATCCATTTTAACCAAATCTTACCCTGGTCGCATGCTGTCCTTTAGTTACATAATGATTCATTCTAGACAGTTTTAAGGGAAATTTGTTGTTGCTGGTTCCTCTATCTACAAAGCCAAAGGGAGATCAGATATCATTTGTTGTGATTTAGCCGATCATTACTCTTGGTGAGTAACAAGATCTTGCCAGTTAGTCTTGAACAGCGGCTGTCAAATTCAAATAAATTAAAACCATTGTGATTTCCAGGTGAATTTCATCTCTCAGACTAGCAAGTTAAACAAGGAGAATTTTATAAGTGACATTTTAAGGAACTGTAAGAGGAAAGGCTCAATTATGTAGCTATGTGATAAAGTTTATATTTTTACATAATTTTAATGAGTAAGTTATTACTAAGTTATGATCCCTGGACTCTCTTAAGCACCTAACTATAGCTTTTAAGGCCCTTTGTGAGCTGTTCCTGCTTATTTTTCTAGTTCTATCTCTTTTCAACACTCTCTCCAATTCCCACTCCTAAACCCCTGCCACTCATCAATACCTTCCATCTGCCTTAAAATAATAGAGGTGTTCTGAGAATGAGTTTGTACTTCATTTCTTGATGTTGACACTTCCTGCTCACCCCTGAATCAGCTGTAGCTTCTATGTTCCCCATTGCTCTGATCATGTGGGTTTTTCACCAGCATAACTCCTACCACTCTGTGTTGTGATTATCTGTTTATTTTTCTGCCCATGAGACAGAACAGCAGTGATGTGTTATTCATCCCTATATGTGCTTTCTGCTATGGTCTGGTCATGGAAACAGACAAAATGTGTGTCCTCGTTAATCAAGCACTAAGCCATTTTTATTTACCACAGGATATAGGGCCCACAATAGGCCCTAAATTAGTGCTTATTGAATTTATTTATTTATTCACTTATCTATTTATTTATTTATGATTAACTACGCTGGATTACCATTTTTTGTGAGTGAATAACTATATTTGACCACTTTTTTTTCATTCAATGAAATACAGAGATTCTAAAAATATACCAGATAATTTTCTAACTTGAAAATTTGAGCAGATACATATTCCAATTAAGCATTTTTTTCTATGACCATTATTTTTTTTTATTTTTTTATTAACATACAATGTATTATTAGCCCCAGGGGTACAGGTCTGTGAATCATCAGGCTTACACACTTCACAGCACTCACCATAGCACATACCTTCCCCAATGTCCATAACCCAACCACCCTGTCCCTACCCCTTCCCCCCCGCAACCCTGTTTGTTTTGTTTTTTTATTTTTTTTAATTTTTTTTCCTCAGTTTGTTTTGTGAGGTTGAGTCGCTTATTCGTATGACTATTATTTTTTTAAAGATTTTATTTATTTATTTGACAGAGAGAGACAACAAGAGAGGGAACACAAGCAGGGGGAGTCGGAGAGGGAGAAGCAGGCTTCCCGCTGAGCAAGGAGCCCGATGTGGGGCTCAATCCCAGGACTCTGGGATCATGACCGGAGCCCAAGGCAGATGCTGAATGACTAGCCACCCAAGCACCCCTCTATGACCATTATTAATCACTTTACTGTTTAAAAATTTTTAGGTTTGGATTAATAACCTAAATAATATGTGAATAAACATATGAATATGAACAATATATAAAAAAACACAGGCAAAATGAGTGTAATCTCTGCAATTTCTTTAAAACTGATAAATCCACACCTCAGAATGTTCAGCATTTTTCAAAGAGGATTAAAATACTGAAAACTCATTTTCTTATATAAATTGTTCATAGTATAAATGTTTATAAACATAATAATTTAATTGCAATAGTTTTTGAAGTCCTTTTTTAAATGTTTATTTTTTAAAATATTTTATTAATTCATTCATTTTTAGAGAGAGAGAAGAGAATGGGCAGAGGGAAAAGGAGAGAGAGAATCCCAAGCAGACTCTGTGCTGAGTGTGGAGACCTACCAGGGTTCTCAGGACCCTGACGTCACCACCTCAGCCAAAATCAAGAGTCAGACAGTTAACAGACTGAGCCACCCAGACACCCCTGAAATCCTTTTTTTTTTTTTTTTAAAGGAGACATTTTATTTTAGGACAAATAATAATAAGTTAAAACCTCGTGATTCTTCCGCGTATGTAAAGATAAAAGTTAATTGATAATATATACTGACATATCAGTCAAATCTTGGACCATTTGTTTCAGAAATGTTGACGTTAGAAGGGAAAAAAACGTGAAAAACCACATTACTAAGTATTTTGAAACAGAAACAACCCAGACTGAATTTCACCAACTTTTGGAGAGGTAAATACTTAGTATCTTAAATGCAAAGATATTTTCCATTCTAGTGCCTGAATAATTATGTATAACACACAATACAAAATACATATGTATCTGCATAAGAAAAATGTTGTTAATACAATGATTTTGGAGTTTTTAATCTGTGAAATATATAAGCTGTGTGAATTTATGATACCAGTGCTAATTAATAAATTTTTGCCCCAAATGTCAAGAGCTGGCAATTTCCCCTAGCTTCTGAAATACCAACTCTATAAATATAAATGATTCCCATTAAAAAAAATCACAGCTGTATAGCACTTTTCTTTGGTTTACATTTGTTTGAATTGAAATCAGTACTTATCTACTTTAAACCAATTTTTAAATGTCATCAACCTATATCATATTTGTGAAATATGTTGTAATTTTCTTTTGATCAATATTTTCCTACCAAAACAAGAATTATTCCCATAGAATTTGATAACTGTTTAAAGGTAGACCACCAGGTATAAATGTTTTGGCAAAATATGTCTTATTGAATACAGGGGGGCAATCTTACATAGTATAAGGAAATTATGCTAATTTTAATTTAATAATTCAGACAGTTTTGATGATCTTTTTTTGGTGGTGGTTCTTCCACCTCCAAGCCAAAAGAAGATGTAGTACAATAAGCACTATTTTTCAACAATAAATATGAAACTTTTAGTTGATATTTTAAGTTTCAGGCAGCATGGTATTGGAAATATCATTGTATTAACGGTCAAGGGGATTGATTTTTAACCCCAGGTTTGCCATTAACTTACTGGAAAACTTCAGCAAAGTGCTCCCCTTCTCTGAGTTCCATTTTCCTCTTTGTGAAACAGGATTGGATGAAGAGTTAAGAAGAAAGCACAAAAGAATTTGATTCTTTTCAATATCTGTTTTTGCATCAACGGGTATCAGATATTCTACTGGAGATTGAAAGGGAGGGGGTCAAGACATCCCTTGCTCTTAGGAAACTCCTAAATTGTTGGGAAGACAGTGTGCTTAGTGAAACTGTCAGAAAGCCTCAGAAGGCAGTATTTAATTGTACAGAAGTGAAAATAATCAAGGGATCATTTTATAGATGACCAGGAAGGAGGAGGAACCTGGTGAGGGGCAGCTGTTAGGGAAGTCCACACAGAGAAGAGAGAAAACGAGAGAGACCTAAAAAGACAAAGATACAATGCAAGAAGATAAAGAAAAGAGGAAAGCATGTATCCATAGCTTTGGTACATTTTACAACAATATTGAAGTAACTGGAAGGCTGTACTGGGGCTCCTGAGATGGGTCTTCTCGCTAATGATTGGGAGAAGGAAGTCCCCACTCTTACGAAACCGTAGCGATCCGCAGACCTGGGAGACAGACTTGTTCCCTTCCACCCCTGCCCTTTTCTCCCAGGGAATCCTGGGTTGTATTGAAATACAGCACCCAAGGTACCAGCTCCACTTGCCACTCCACCTCCACTCTCATCCTGACAGAGCACAGAGATAAGACTGGACTTTTCTGGACTCCCTATAAATCGGAGTGGTTGCCAGTCCTAACTCCTCGTGTGCAAGTCAGAGGACCTTATTCATAGGACCTTTGCCTCCATGTGGTGGAGAAATCCCGGACTGTTTGCTCAGCACCTCAGCCTCAGTCTCCTTGCTATGTAGATCAACTATCTTGTTATTCTATGATGATGGCCTCTTGGGAGGACCCTCTAGTGCTGTGAAGGACTCAGATTTAGGTTTGAATTTCAGCTCTCCTCCTTATTAGTATGCAGTCTTGGGCAAAGAAATTAACCTCGGCTCGGCTTCCTCATCAGTAAAATGGGCCTCTCAGAAATGATGTGAGAGAGAGTTGGGGTGCCTGGGTGGCTCAGTGGGTTAAAGCCTCTGCCTTCGGCTCAGGTCATGATCCCAGGGTCCTGGGATCGAGCCCCGCATGGGACTCTCTGCTCAGCGGGGAGCCTGCTTCCCTTCCTCTCTCTCTGCCTGCTTCTCTGCCTACTTGTGATCTCTGTCTGTCAAATAAATAAATAAAATCTTTAAAAAAAAGAAAAGAAATGATGTGAGAATTAAGTGAGAGTACCTATGAAATGCTCGTAGTGCTTGATCCATTTTGATAAAGTGTTGCTGACTGGTTATGTTCCAGGCACTTTACAGATATCCACTCATTTAATCTGTAAAATATCACTGTGAGATAAGTGCTACTATGTCTTTTTACTGATGGGGCAAATGAGGCTCAGAGAAGTTAAGGGACTTTTTCAAGTTTACACAACCAGAACAGGAGGTCTAGAATATGAATCCAGGCAATCTGACTCCATATCCACATGCCTCCTCAGGCACTTAACGGCCAGTTCTTTTCTTCTCTCTCCATTTATGTTGACTGGCATGTGATCAAGTTGGAGGAATTAAATAGAGAGGAAAAGGCTTATCCCAATCCTCTCTAACCCACCTCCATGGGCCAATTAAATTCAGCACTATTAAAACCAGGGTTTCAAAAAAGGAAGGGAGATTTACCAACCACCCATTTCTTCTATTCTCCCACTCGTTGTCCTAAAACAGGATATTCCCATAGTCCAAATGTTCTCCAGGAAAATGTGAGTAGGAGCAGATATGATAATGATAACTCTTCTTAGGTCATGCTATAACTGCCTGGACCCACAAATATATCCATTTTGGGAAAGTAGAAAGAATCAGTTTGGGCCTTTGGACAGCAAAGAAAGAGAATCAGGCACATCTTGTAGCTGGGGGCTCAGTCTTCTTATAGTTCCTCTCCATTCCCTCCCTACAAACTCCTGAGGTCCACCAGCTTCCAGAGCTATGACACAAGAGGCAGAGACTTAGGTCTCATTGACTTATTTCCTTCTAAGACCTCTCAGAGAAATGGAGAGCCCAATTATCTGTTCAATTGCTTTATCCCATCTAAGGAAATAAAATTGAGAAACAGTCTTCATATAGTTTAGCCTTCCTGATCAGCATAAAGTCACATCTAATTCACTTACTATAGACAGTATATTCTAAGGTAAAATATATTTACCAAGAATCCTTTATTTTCCTTGTTCCAAAGGCGGGATCATCTCAACAGTCTTCTCAACAGCCCCAACACATTCCCTTACCCATCCCTCCTCTTCCCTTGCAATTTGGCCTCCTTACTGCTCTCCTGAACTGGCTGTGTAACTTACAGCCTCTCCTACTTCAGGGTACCTTCCACCTGTCCTGCAGCTAACTTTCTAAAGAGCAGATCTGATAAAACCACACCTCTACTCTTCTACCTTCCATGACTTCCTGCTGTTTATGGGATAGAGGCCTGTTTCTTAGCCTGGTATCTTAAGTGCTTTCCATGGGTTCCTGTCTTCTTTTCCAGCTTCATCTGACTCCTGCTCTCATCCATACACTGGGATCCAGCCATACAAAACGCCTCTAGATCCTAATCCTTCTTGATCAACTCCTATTCATTTGAAAAGGCCCAACCCAAATGTCACTTCCTTCCATAGGTGTTCCCTGGAGAATCAGTCGTTTTGTTTTTCCTGTGTTCTTACAGCACCTTGGCTGGGTTCCTATGACACCACCCACTCCTGCATATTATACTTCAGTTGTTGACCTGTCTCTCCCCTAACAAGAGAGGGAGCCCCTCAGGGAACAAGAAAACAGTATCATTCATTTTGATATCTACAGGGCAGGCCAAATGCTTTTTTGGAGCCTGGGGTGTGGAAATCATTGTTGACTGCTTCGCCAGGGTAAAAGTTACTGTTTGAAAGGGAGTTAAAAGGCTGTGGAGATCACTTCTAGTGGAGGGAGATGAGAAACTGCTTGGTGATGGATATGACTTTGGGGAGAGAAGAGAACTTTAACAAAAAAAGCCAAAGAAAGTGTTTTAGGTAAAAGGAAGAGCATGAACAAGGCACACAATTAGAAAGTGTGCAGCATATTGAAGAAGGAAAACTCAATCATGATATGCCTACTTATTTGCTGATCACGCTGGCACTGTGCTAAGCACTTTTTAAAATCAACCTTTAATCCTCACTAAAACCCTGGAAGATAAGACATTGAGGCTTAGAGAGGTTAATTTGTCCAAGTCCCACAGCTTGGATTGGGGGGATGAGTCTCCAGAGGGGTCTGATGGGCTCCAGGGCCCACCTCTGGATGGTCTCACCGGTCTGCATCAGGAGTGGGCACTGATGGTCCAGACCCTTGATTTCTCACATTTTCTCTCTTCTCTGCTGGAAGCCTTCTGTCTATACAAGCTCAATTTTTGTGTCTCTTACTACAGGTGCACTGAAATTTTAAATTTACCTTCCGCAGCTCGGAGATTGTTCAATGAAAAAGGAAAAGAAATCTTTGCCTTAAAAGACCTTCAAAGGGATGAACTGGTAAAGATATGAATGTGAAACTGGAAATATGAGCCACACATACAACTAAAAGACAAACGTTTTAACATACAGGACTTCAAACACTAACTGCTTCTCCCCTTATTTTCTCTGAGTTAGCCTTACTCAGCAGCCCTCAGAAAGGCATGCTAACAGCTCACGGTTGAGAGCTACTGTCAGGCATGATTTTCAGGGCTTTCTAAGAATAAACTTATTTAAGGATCAGGATGACCCTGTGGGATGGATGCTGCCATGATCCCCACTTTAGAAATGAGGGTGGAAGCTAGACAAGACCGGATTATTAACCACTTATGATTTCTGTCTCCTACTCTGAAAGGCAGATCCTCTCTTCTTTTTGAGGCTTTCAAAGTGTAGTTGTTTAGTGTTCTTACTAAATGATAATTTCACTCTTCCAGAAAAAAATTATATCTAGTGTTTTGCACAGCCTACCTGGGTGGCTGGAGATGACTGAGAAGAAGGACTTTAGCAGTCAGCCTTTCTCCCATTTATGGAATTTGAGATATCAGCTCGAAAAGAAAACTTGCCTGACCGATGCCTGAAAATTCTTTGAACAGAGAACCAAGCTCACACCATAGTATCAGAACTCAGTTCAGGCCCTGAATGTAAAGACCCCTTGAGCGAGTCTTTTTTTTTTAATTTTTATTTTATTTTTTTTTAATTTTTCAGCATAACAGTATTCATTGTTTTTGCACCACACCCAGTGCTCCATGCAATCCGTGCCCTCTCCAATACCCACCACCTGGTTCCCTCAACCTCCCACCCCGTGCCCCTTCAAAACCCTCAGATTGTTTTTCAGAGTCCATAGTCTCTCATGGTTCACCTCCCCTTCCAATTTCCCTCAACTCCCTTCTCCTCTCTAACTCCCTTTGTCCTCCATGCTATTTGTTATAGTACTGACGACTAATAACAGAAGCAGCATGGCAGAGGGGAAAGTCTGTGTTCTTGGAACCTGGGGAGATCTCTTTTGAATTTTAACACTGTCACTGCCAAGGTTTTAGTTTGTTGGTTTTTAATTTTTTTCTTTGCTTTTCCTGGTGTGTTAACTCACTGCGTTATTTCAGAAAGAACTCAAGATAGATTGCATTTAAACCTAAGATACAGAAGGATAAATTTAATGTAACGATAACTAGATGGGGCCACCAGGGCGAAGGGAGTGTGAGTGAAAGCAAGGAGCCAGGAGTGACCGTTACAAGATTCCATGCATTTGCTCGAAACAAACCTGTCACTGTTCTGGGCAGCCGATGAAGAGATAGAAACATCAACAGTTACACGTGTGTCCAGAGGGAAAAAGGAAGCCTGTTGTTCAAACAGAAGAAATTTTTGAGAAAGTTTTTCCCAAGTCGTCATACAAGGGTGTGTAAAAGCACCATCGTGGGGCCACGGAAGAGCACTGAGTGGCGTTTTTCTTCCTACTGAGTGTTCTCAATACATCCTTCTATTTTTTTCTTACTTCGAAGAAATACGAATTCATTTAAGAAATAAATATAAGCAGCATGAAGAACAGCTATCATCCGTAATCTCAATGTCTAGAAATAGCCACATTAATATATTACAAGTTCATTTATACCAGTGGTTTTGTCCAACTTCTTCTGCAAAAGATCAGTTAATAAATATTTACAGACCATATGATCTCTAATAAAACATCAGCTCCTGCCATTGTGAAGCACAAAAGCAGTGACAGACAGCGTGGAAATGAGTGGGCATAACTGTGTTCTAATAAAACTCTATTTACACAGACAGGCAGCAGGCCAGATCTGGGCCTCAGCCATAGTTTACAGAGCCCTAATATATACCTACCTCCCTTTCCTTCCTCCCTCCTTCCCTCCCTCCCTCCTGTCCTTTCTTTCTTTCCTTCCTTCAAAAAATTATTTCATAAAACTTTAATTTGGAAAAATTTTAGATTCACAGGAAGTTGCAAAGATAGTATGGAGAAATACTTTTTTTTTTTTTTTTTTTGGTAGAAAACCCTTGAGATCCTTCAAAGTTGTTACATTCACCAACAGTTTTGCCTTTTTATCACGATTAGTCCATGGCATCATGGTTTGTTTAACCATTTGCCTATTATAGGACATTTTGTTTGTACTTTTGGCTGGGTTTGGTTATTACTGATAACACTGCTATGAACAGTTTTACATGGGATCAGAGATTCACTCCTTTGCTAGGTATATGCTTCATGTGGAGAACACTGGATCAATCCTGATATGTCCACTGCTCAGCAAAAGAAGCAAATCTTCCTGAGGAACTTAGCATCAGATATTTCTAAAATCCAAACTTTCTGCAGTATACGTAAGATAGAGGGTAAGCATTGGAATTATTTACCATAATATATGTGGCCAAGGTTAATGCTTGATCCTACTTTTTTAAATTAAATTTGTTTAAATAAGTTGTATTTCACTCCTATATCCTGTTGTTTAGCTCTTTAGACAAAATTATATATTTAACAGGATTGCGTATTTTAATTCACACTACACTTTGGATGTGTAAAGAAAATGTAATTTATTTTGTCTTTAACAAATCAGGAATTCTTTGTTTTCTGTTAAGAAAAACAAAATTTCCAGTCAGGTTTAAATTTTGTCTCATCCATTAATTTAAATAGTCCCTTTAGGGAAATCTTTCAGATTCCCCAGTTCCCAGAGTCTCTCTTTAGTTCCTCTCTCAGATGGAAGGGAGTCTCTTGCTTTCTGAGTCTTGGTGACTGATGTCCATGGCTAGGTGACTGTGTTCCATTCTTTTGGCCCAGACAGTGCTTTGGGCGGGTGATGCTTCCTGCCTCACTCAGACTCAGACACTCTACTCTGCTCCCTTTGGCCCCCCTGAAGCCTGGCTATGGCTGAGTGTTCATCTCTGTTCTTACTACAGGACCCCTTCACCCCTCCTTGACAACCACTTCTGGAAAGCTCTCTAGCATGACTCTCAGCAAATCTTGGGTCATGGCTGCATGCCTTAGAAACCAGATCCAGGTTGACAGGGCTGTGCCTCAGGTTGGAGTAGTGAGGGCAACTGGTGAGGTGACTTGTCACAGGGTTCTGAATAATGGACAGTGTCCTCTGTGTTTCCTTGGTGTAGCTTAGATGCCTGAAGTGAAGCCTGTAGAGGGAATCATGACATCCAGCACTGGTTTTCTGCCTTCCTCTAGCTTCTGTCTCCCTCAGGCTCAGAAATGGTGGGTTTTCCCCAGGTCAACCTTGAGGTTAAAGCTTTAATATGCTAAATGGGAGCTCACAGAATTTAGAAGAATCCTAAATTATGATAGTGTCATCCTGATTTACACAGCCTTTGTCTTATGGTAACAGGCTGTGCTTGAGTGTCATAACTATCTTCGTACTTTTGCTTTCCTTTGTAACCTTTCTCATCAGCTTGTGGTCTTCCTTCTTCCCTTAGGCCTGCCCCAGGAAGGACAAAGGTCCTATACATAGAAAATCAAAAGGGAAAAATCATTAATATAATTTAAAACTTTTCTCTATTACCTATATTGAATGTTGTACAGTAAGTTTGGCATGTGTCTTTCAAGGCATTAGGGACTTCAATGAGGAATCTGGGATCCTAGAGAATGATCTAGAGACATATATCTAAATAATATACCCATTTGAATGGTTAGAATTTACAATAACTAACATTTTTTGGAAAGACATATTCTTTAGTACCTTTTTTTTAGGCATTTTTAAAATTGAAGGGTAATTACCTATGTTGCTATATTTGTTTCAGGTATATAACATAGTGATCTGATATGTATATACATTATGAAATGGTCAGTGCCATAAATCTAGTTACCATTTGTCACCATACAGAGTTGTTTTAATATTATTGACTATATTCCCTATGCCATATATTGCATCCCCATGTCTGACAATGTTTATAACTGGAAGATTATACCTCTTACTCTCCTTCATCTATTTCATTCATCCCTCTATCCTTCTGACAATTATCAGCTTGTTCTCCGTATCTATGAGTCTGTTTCACTTTTGTTTTGTTTTATTTGTTTTGTTTTTTAGATGTAAGTGAAATGTATGTGAAATAATACAGTATGTGTCTTTTACTGTCTGACTTATTTTACTTTTCAAAATTACCCTTGAGGTACCGCCATGTTGACACAAATGACAAGATTTCATTTTTTATGACTGCATAATATTCCATTATCTATATACTACTTCTTTAAATCCATTCATTTGTTGATGGACACTTAGATTGTTTCCATGTCTTGGATATTATAAATAACACTGTGATGGACATAGGGGTGCTTATGTCTTTTCAAATTAGTGTTTTCATTTTCTTTGAATGAATACCTAGAAGTGGAATTGCTGGATCATATGGTAGTTCTAGTTTTAATTTTTTGAGGAGCCTCCATATTGTTTTCTGTAGTGGGTACATCAGTTGTATATTATCAATATGTGCTAGGGCTCTTTTTTTTTGTTGTTGTTGTTTGTTTTGTTAATAGACATTCTGACAGGTGTGAGATGATATCTCACTGTGATTTTGATTTGATTTGATTTGCATTTCCCTGATGCTTAGTGATACTGAGCATCCTTTCATGTGTACATTGGCCATCTGTATGTCATCTCTAGAAGAATGTCTGTTCAGGTCCTCTGACCATTTTTTAATCAGATTGTTTTTAGATATTGAATTTTATGAGTTCTTTGTATATTTTAGATGCTAGCCCCAATTTTAATAATTTTGACTGCCAATATCTTGGGGGGAAAGAAACTACAAAAATTAAGTGAAATCCAGTTTATTAAAGAGCAACTATCAGTGTTCTCTTAGACCAAATAGCTGAAAATTGTCTCCATTCTTATTTTAACATGTGTTTTTCAATTCCTAGTGTTCTGCAATCATAACTGATATGTCTTTGCAATCTGTGCATTTCTGCTCAGCTCTTGTTTTAGAAGTCCAAAGTGACATTGTGTCTGGAGCCAAGCTTGCTGTGCATAAACCTGTAGCAATTTTTGGAGAAGAGAAGCAAATGATAGGACCAGAGGAAAAGCAAATGCAAGAAAATGCTTTAACAACAGAAAAAGCTTCCAGTGAAATTCTGTAAGTAATCAGCATGGCCAGAGAAACTACCTGGTTCCTCTCTGAACTTAGCTCATTAGCTCAACAGCACAGAGTCCATGCAGGAAACTCGTGCCACATTTGTGATATGGATGTCAGATGAAGAGCTAGGATTTATTTATTTATTTATTTTTTAATAAAAAAAAAAAGATTATTTATTTATTTATTTATTTGAAAGAGAGAGAGAGAGAGATCACAAGTAGGCAGAGAGGCAGGCAGAGAGAGAGGGGGAAGCAGGTTCCCTGCTGAGCAGAGAGCCCAATGCGGGGCTCGATCCCAGGACCCTGTGACCATGACCTGAGCTGAAGGCAGAGGCTTTAACCCACTGAGCCACCCAGGCACCCTAAGAGCTAGGATTTAATTAGTTTTCTGGCAAAAAGATCGAGCTGGAGCTTCAATGTTCAACCATCACAGTGATCTACTTGCAGTGATTTTATTATTGTACTACTATTTTTAAAAGACTAGAATTTTGGAATTGCAAATTATTTGAGGAATCCATCATGTTTTGTTTCCATTAACATCGACTCCAGGAACAATTAAATTAATATAGGTTCAAGCCAGATGCATGTTAAAATACAGTCGTCATCCTGGGTCACTGAAGTGATTTCCACATTGGTCTCTCTCTTCCTTTTCTCCTCCTTCCAGTTCACCTCAAAGTTCCATCTACAGACAATTATCTTTCTAAAACAGAACCCTTTTTCTACAGTTCTTCAGTGGCTACCTACTGCAGATAGAAAAAACATTTACTCTGTAGTCCCAAATCCTTCTGTCCTGAGTCCAGGCCTGTCACGGACCCTCATTTGCACCCCACACCTACCTCCACTCCACACTTTTTCTTCCTGACATGCAAACTAAGCTCCAGCTCGTCAACGACAAGCGGCCACTGAATATGGCATATTCTGCTTGTGCACCACTGCAGGCCTCTGAGCCCCTTGTTTGTTTCTCTCCGCCTGAAGTGCCCTGACCCACCTTGTACTCATGTGTGGAATGATTCTTCATCGTTGAAATCAATCATGGTAATGATTGTATGGAGCACTGTTCTTAGCAGTACTTCTCCCCCCACCCCTGTAATTCCTTGTGGGCAAAACCCCTTGTCCGGCTTGTTCTGTGAAGACCAGGGTAGATGACTTTAATCATCCTATACTGAATAAATGAAGGAACAATTGAATGAGTTTCCAAATTCTAAAACCATATATAGATAGTCAACTACCCTTGTGATAACAGTGAAAATTAATTTACATGTCATTTGAAACTATTTTACAAACCATTTTAAAAGACTGCTTCTATCCTCTATTGTAGGAACATCAATTTTATTTTAGGAAACAAACCCCCTCATCTTGATGAGTGATTCATCTGGTCCCATGTCTTGACACTCACAAAAGCACCACAAGGCCTTTTTCAGAGAGAAATGATTTGGCCTACATGGGTCTATTCCTCATTGGCTAGAGAATTTCTGAAGAATGTATCATCTGGCTTCTGAGTTATTAGACTGCCCATGGGAAAAAAGTAAACAGAAAGTGAGAAAAACACAAAGAACATCTTTGAGAGCAAAGATCCACATTGTTCTAATTTTTAGATTTCTTCAAGGCCTGGAGTTCTTGAGTCCACTCAAAACAAAGGGCAGGAATCTCCTGCACATTCCAGGCAGGCTCTTTTGATGCCATCTCTTGTTGAATACTCATCGTAACAGAGAGATCACTACTTCGCAAGCAGCCATTTTTTTTTTTTTTTTTTTAACGTATAATGTATTATTTGCCCCAGGGGTACGGGTCTGGAAATCATCAGTCTTAACATATTTCACAGCACTCGCCATAGTACATACCCTCCCCAATGTCCATAACCCCACACCCCCCTGCAACCCTCAGTTTGTTTTGTGAGATTAAGAGTCTCTTATGGTTTGTCTCCCTCTTATCCCATCTTATTTCATTTTTTCCTTCCCTACCCCCCACAACCCCCCGCCCTGCCTCTCAAATTCCTCATATCAGAGAGATCACATGATAATTGTCTTTCTCTAATTGACTTATTTCGCTCAGCATAATACCCTCTAGTTCCATCCATGTGGTTGCAAAGGGCAAGATTTTATTCCTTTTGATAAGGCAGTCCATTCTAATGTAGAAATTATTTAGAACATCTCTGCCCTATGGTTTCATTTGTTTCTGTTTATACCCTTCCTCTTCTACCTAAAAGTCCTTAAAATATGCAAAGTTCATCATCATCAGGCTACTGGTTTCTCTCTTTTCTGGGCTAGCTTTCACTAGTTCTTTGAGACACTTCTGGTGACTCAATCCTAAATCATCTTATGTTACAGTCACTTGAAGATTTCCCCAGAATTTCTCAAATTTTTTTGTTTGGAAGTTTTACTTATTTGAAAAGTGGGGTGATTTAAGGAGGGATATCCGTAAAGCAAGAGAGTAAACATAGATCTAGAAGGAACATTTTTGATAGTTGGATTCTGTGTCAAGATTTCTGTTAATAAAAATAAGCAAAATAGAAAAGAAACTCTGGAAGCACTCACCTCAGCTTTGCTGCCTTGTGAAAGAAAGAATTTTTTAGCATGGAGCTCAGGGAGAACTTTCCTATTCCCTTACTGAATTACAGGCAGGCCCTGCCCCCTTCTTAAACCTTTTCGCTTACTACCTTTCTCACTCACTTTATACCTGGCATAATAGTGTCTTTCTGTTCCGCAAATGAACCAAGCATATTCTTGCTTCAGAACCTCTCTATTTATTCTCTTTGCCCAGAAGGTTCTCTCTCTAGAACCTCACATGGATGGCTCCCTCCCATTTTCCGCGTCTCAACTCAAACATTTTCTCTCAGAGGAGCCTTCTCAGACTCCATTGTTTAAGTACACCCTACCCCACGCTGGCTAGTTTCTATCACAATATCTTGTTTTATTCCACTTATGGTGCTTATATTATTTATTCATATTTATTCATACTTATATAACAGACTTGTCTGTTATATCTCTTCTGACCACTAGAATGTAAGCTCCAGAAACCCTGAGAACTTACCTGTTTTGTTCATCACTTAGAACTCTGTGCCTATCATATAGCAGATGTTCAAGAAACATCATTGAAAAGAATGAGTGACTAACTATGGAATGATTAGGTACATGAGGGAATGGAAAATTAATGAATTTATAAAGCAAGGTATATTTAAAAAGGGCTGTTCTAAAGTGGCTAGACTGTACTTCATTTGCCTGGAAGCCAAAGAGAATACAGATAAATTCCAAGTTAGAAAATTAAACATCTGGACTTGGAGGAAGGATCTTGTTTACACCTTGCTGAATGTGTTGTAACTAAGAATGACATTTTCTTTCTCTGTTTTCCTTGAAGAAATAAAGTTGGTGGGAAAGCTGTTTTTTTTATTTTTAACACTAGATGGCACTGTTGTTTTTTAACTGCTGGGAAGATTTTTGACTTGAGCCAGCCGCCTGAGCACAATTTGAACGAGGCAGCTGTTACCCTCCAATTTCATATCCATGTATAATATTTGTGTTACATTTAAAAAGTGTATGGTCTGCTGTGCCAACACAGGAATTGACCCCGAAGATTTTGGTAATTTATATTGCTTCCAGTTATATCAATACTAGGAGCACCTTGACAATCGCCACCTACCCACTCCCCTCCAGCTTTATTTACACATATGCATAGTTAGACTGCTAGAATATGCTCACTGCTTTGCCTGTATATTTATCCTGCCTTGAGTGGAGCAGTCTTCATATTGTGTTATGATCTCTTGGAAGCAAATGTACTTCAACAGTGCTCCAGAATATGATATTGATAGATCTGTATGGTGGCTAAACTCCTGTTCATGTCATCATCGTAATAAGAAGCCAGAAGGCTGATGACTCAGTTATTCAAACTATGACTATTTAAGTGTTTTAGTACCTTATTCTCTATCAAAAGTTTGCACGTCTGTGCCGATGCTATTTGAGCTTCCCTAGATTTGAGAGGAAAAGTTAATTAAGATTTCTTAACATTGTCTAATGAGTAAACTGTATGAAATGCAGTAATCTAGCCTGTCCTGTTCCAGACAGAATTATGACCCACTTCTGGAGCAGGCAGAAGGAATCTCATTACACATTCATTATGAATTTCTTAAACTACCGAGCAGTCTTAATCTTGCAGGTTTTTTTTTTAGAGGAAGGAAGGGGCAAAGGGAGAGGGAGAGAGAATCTTAAGCAGGCTCTGTGTGGAGTGTGGGTGGAGCACGATGCGGGGCTCAATCTCACAACCCTGAGGTCACGACCTGATGTGAAATCAAGAGTCTGATGCTTAACCGACTGAGCCACTAAGATGCCCCAATCTTGCAGTTTTTGAAATATAATACATGGCCCCATTTTTCCCTGAATAGATAAAGATGAGTGCTATTTATTATGTAATTGGGGAATTTTATTTGTAGCTTTATATTAAAAGATCGAAATTATGTATTAGTGGGAGGTGGATTTGCAATGTTAGGCACCATAATAGAAATGTGATTTACAGATTCATCAACATCCTTTAGGATATGATCAGACTATACCTCAGAGAAAATTCTGTGAGTAAAAATCAGAATTCTTAGATTTGTGTTTACTTCTGTAGAGATTCACATGCAAGAGCCCATCTCCGAATGAAAGCTTGTCACACACTTCTCAGGTATGCCTGGCAGGAAACTCCTCATGACTTTGATGAGGATGACAGTCTTCCAAAGAAAATGGAAGAAGAACTCTTTGAAAATGTGGAACCACAGAAGAAACACAGGTAAAAAGTTGCAAGGAATTCTCATTAGAGATTTCTGCATGGTCTTAGATTTGCTCATTCTAGGGCGAAATGATTCCTCAGGGTTTGCATTAGTGTTAGCCGCCATTTATATTAACATACACATTTGTGTCTTGGGTTTTTTACTAAGTGTTTGCAAGTATCTGTGGGAAGGCCCTTCTCCCCTTAGTTTATTTTGCGCCATGTAATATAATTTCTTGTTCACTGGTGTGTCTTTTATATTAAGCAGTAAGCTTATCCATCTTTGCATCCTAATAACATAAAGCCTATGTATTTGTTGAACAAATGTGTGAATGATCTTAAGAATAAACATGTAAGATGCCCTAATGTCTTTAAGAAATTAGTAAAATGTAGTTTCTTCCTTTTTAACTTTATTTTTTTCTGGTCAATGTCCAATGAAATAACGGGAATTTATAGTACTTTGTATTATTTCATAACCTTTAGACATTTGCTTACCATTATAGCATTTTGTATAAATCAAACGGCTTTGGCATTTCAACAGTTAGCATTGCCCCATGCACGTACTAGGGGCTTCGTAGATATTTATAAATTAACTTAATTGACAATGCATTGTGATGTTTAATATATTTCATAAGTCTGCTTATTGCCTTAAGCTCCTTAAGCAGGAGATTCCTTTGAATTAACTTATTAGCATATCATTCTCTTTTATGATATTCTATGGGAAGATTGAAAAATTTGGAGAATGGCATTCTATTTGCAGGGAGACTAGACTGAGGCTAGAAACAACCCTGATTTGAACTCCTTTGTTTTTCCCTTTTCCATTTCTACCTGGCCCTCTCCTTTTCCCATTCCTTTTCCCTTTAACTAAATTACCTCTTCAACTCAGTTTCTTTTTGCTATGCTGATGAGTTTCTCATATTCTCTTGGATGGACATTTATTCCTGTTACAGAATAAACTCAGAATTCTGCTCTTACCATCTGCTTGGCCCTGCCAGGCGATAGCGGTGCTGCTGTCCCAAGGGTAATGCCTCACCAGGATCCGAGCATTCGGTTCCATCCGGTCTCTCAGCAGCAGAGCTTGCCGTCTCCAGCACACTGAGTGCACAGGACATTTTTCGGCCTCTAATGGGATTTTCTTCTTCTCAGCCATTCTCCAAAGCAGAGTAAATTGCAGAAGCTTTGCCGCCAGCAGTTTGAATACAGAGATGGGCAAATTATAAGCTGTGCCGCTCCTCAGCTAGTTTTGGGAGTCCGAGGTCCTGATCTGCGCTCAGGCACAGAGGTAGTTTTGGTGGAGAAAAAAGCAGATGATAGTCATCAACGATGGATGCACAAGAAAGGCAGCAGGTAAACCCATTATACTGGGTGTCAATATACCAAATATATGAATGGCAGCCTAAGAGATCCGGTATGGTACCCGCAGAGCAGGCAGGAGTATATGTGGGGACTTTGGATTTTCTATTGAAAGTAGAAAATGCTTTTTTTTAAATCCTACTCAGAGAAGAAAAAGAGAGTGAAATCAAATGTAAATGCTCGGTAGTCTATACACAAGTTATCCACTGTCTGTTCAGATAAGGAATGTGAAATCTGACCTACTGGGTTCATAGTTTTAACTGGCTATGGAAATTAAAAGAAAACTGGGCTGCCATCTAATTCTTTTTTTATGATCTGAAAGGATCAAGTAAGAACTTAAGAAGTCCCCATTTTAAAAAAATGGTGCAGTATTTTTCAGTAACTCAATCACCTGCCCCTTCCCACAAGCACGCTTTTCTGCTGTTCCTTATTTCCATCAAATAACCAACGGATACGGCTTCTGCTTACACAGTGAAAACGAATTCTTACCTTAACAAATATATCAATCCAGTCTAACCTCATGGCTGGCCCTTGTTTGGATCAAGATTCAAGCCGACCACTCTCAAAAGTTATTTCTAAGACAATTAGAGGAAAAGCCTGGGTGCCAGATGACACAAAAGAAGTCTTATTAATTTTGTTGGGTGTCCTAATAGTTCAATGGCTATGTTTAAATAAAGAAAAATTCTGACCACTGGGATATATATTGTAGCATTTACAGATAAAATGAAGAAGTAGGTCAGACTTGCATTAAAATACTCTAGCAAAAGCAAAAATGTAAAAAGTTGGAGGGAATGGATGAGACGAGAATGGCAGCGTGTTGACACCTGTTGCATCGTGGTGGCTTCTTCTGGCTTCTTCTTCTCTCTTTTTGTTCATATACGAACATATCTTTAACCAGAAAGAAAACAACTCCTTGGTTTTTAGATTGGTTTGTTTCAAATTCAGCCATTAGTCTTTTATGGTGAGCCTCCGGGGCCTCTTCAGTCTCTTGACATCTGTGTGATACACTTTTTCCCCCCTGGGGAAGAGGTGTGATTTTCATTGGCTTCTCAAAAGGTGTGTGATGTGAAAGGTTTAGGAACTGCTGCTTTGACAGAGACTGTGCAAGCATGAGCGGGCAAGAGCAGCAGCCCAGCATGGGCAGGAAGAGAGCAAGTCTCACTGTTCACTGTCTGAGATGAGCCAAGTACCAGCAAGGAACACTTACTGGACTTGTTTACAAGAAGGTTGAAAAGCCAACCTGTAGCTAGACCTGTGAGTGTGTTGCTTTGCCTTGTTCATCCTAGCTAAGCTAACATTATGACAGGGAGCTAAGAGGCAAGTTTTTGTCCCTGTGAATGATTTGCTATATGGGACCAGAATTCATTCATTCTGCTGCAAACGGTGATTAAGGGCGGCGTTCTGGGAGCTGGTGCTTCAGCTGAGATCAAACACATGAAAATCCCCGCAGTGCTAACGGGCTCTACATTTCTGGAATTTAGTAATACATCTCACTGCTTTAGCTTACTGTATTACAGTGGAGGTCCTCCTTGAACCCAGCGGGAAATTGCCAGAGATACACTCACTTGGTTTCCAGCCACACAGAAGAATGGTCCAGGTCAACTTTTGAGATAACCTGGCATCTTTCTCCCATTTCCAACTCTGGCAAAATCTAAATTAATTGTTTGGCTTCTAAAGGGAAACATGTAAGCTCGGGGATGAAAATACCCTCAACGGGACCCAGAATTATACAGGGGAAAATACAGTGTCATGGGCTTTGGAGCTACAAGAGATCTTTAAAATTTCCTTAATCACTTGATCTTTTGATTTCAAAGCTAGGTACGCTGGGGCCCGGGACACTGACTTGCAAGCACTCATTCCCTAGGTTTGTGGAAGGGGCTGTGGTAACGTGCGAGATATCCCTGGGACACAGAAGAAGGTCTCACACTGCCTTTTGGCACATAGTGTGTTTTATGTACAGATCCATAAACTCAAGCTTCCTGCAAAACTTAAGCATTCCTGTTAAGGCCAGTGTCAGTTGATGGTACTGTTCAAAAACGAAAAGGGAAACCAACATTATCACAGCTCAGCATGGCACTGAAGCATGGGAGAAGTTGCTACGGCTGTTGTAAGCAGCAGAAACATAGATAGCCAGGTAACAGATGTTGGCATCTCAATAGGTCATTGCAGGAGATGCACGATCATTCATTCATATGAATAATATTGAGTGTCAATAAAAAATGCAAGACCCAAGCTATGTGAATGACGAGGTTAAACAGGTGAAGAGTAGAGAATAGCAGCTCTCGTGCAGTGCCCAGTTTTGATAAATGCTAAAAAGGTATTTAATGAGGTCCAATACCCATTTTTTAATTTAAAATGATACATCATTAATCAACAATAGAAGGAAGAAATACATTGCAAGATTAACAGGGATTATCTTGTAGTAATATGAATAATGCCTAAAAGTCTGTTACAATTTTTACTCTATTTTTCAGTTCTTCGTAAATTCTTTACAGTGAGGTTATGTTTTTTATATTTATTTTTAGTACAGAAGTTTAAATTAGATATCTGGAATTTTTTTAAGTCTTGAAAGGAGAAATATATTACTTTTATAACAGACCCTTTCTCACCTTCTCCTCTCCCCTTCACTCCCACATCATTAAATTTTATAGGACGAGTTATATTTTCCACAGCAGGAATGCCACTGCTGGTGTATGAGTAATGTAACTATGTTGACAGACATAAAGAATTGGCTTTTTCTATACAGACAGTTTCCTTGAATGTTTGGCTTATTTTGCTTTTAAGTGATGCAAGGAGAAGAATTTGAGGATTTTAGCTCAATAATTTTCTTTCCTTCTTTTGGTCAAAGTGGCTTTATGTGAGCTCCTATACAAGACAGCTTAACAATATTCAACATATATCTTGGACTTTTAGGGTATAACCCTTTAGAAAAAGAGAATTGGAGGAAAAGCTATAAAAAAATCACAACCGTTAATAATAGTGGCTCATTCTAAGTGACGTGTGCCAGGCAATATTCTATGTATTTTCTGTTCATTAATTCATTTCATTCCCACAAGACTCTTTTGAGGCAGGCATCATTATCCTATTTTACAGATGAGGAAACAAAGGTGTGGGATTGTTAACCAAAGCCATATAGCTACTAAGAAGTAAATTCAGGATTCAAACTTGAGCCCTCTGGCTCGAGAATCCATGTTCTTAATCGTTCTGCCACAGGATTAAATATCAGGAGGTAAGGAGGGTATATCAGTCTGGGTTCAATTTGGAGGCAAAAACCACACTGTGATTTCAAGAAGATGTGAAACATAAAGAATTATTAAACAATGATGAAAGAGTAACTATTAGATTAAAAAAAAAATCCTCTGGGGCTGAGGGAGTTGAGGACAAACTTGAAATCAGGCCTTTCCCAAGGCCAGAGTTAGAACTCATTAGAAAAGGTACAGATACAGCTAACTGGATGGCAAAAATCTGTTAGTTTGCCTGACCAGAACTGGTCTGTGGTTGCTCTGCTAGCAGGAAGTAGCCCTCTGGAACATATGCAGGGGTGCAACTGGTTTAGGGGCACACAGGTATGGAAAAGGAGCAGGGTGCTGGAGAGGCAGAAGGTTTAGAGCATGTCATGTCCATGTCAGGAGGGCCACGAGCAAATGATTATCAGGCCAGGGCTGTGAGGCTTCCCAGGGGCCACACATCCCCGGCACCTGGTTAGGGCGGAGCATCCCTGGATGTCCTCCCTCCCAACTGGTAACCCCATGCAGCAGCCAGGAAGAGCAAGGGAGCCCTTCCTCCTGCAGTGTTCCTCTAGCAATCTCTACTGAGAAAGCTTCATATTGTGCTTCTGTGAGGGAGAAATGCTTAAAGGATTCATATCCATTATCACAAAGCACGCATGGAGCTAAGTGGCAGCACTCTGGTAGGTGGCACAGAGGGAGCTCTGATCGGGTTACGCTACTTGATAACAAGCCTAATCCTGTTTTCCCAAAGGACCTTTCACCTGGTGAGTAACCCAGACCTTGTGCTGGCAGTGTCTATGACCAAAACAAGAAATGATGTCTGTGGCTATCCAGTTATTATTCAGGTAAGATATATATATAGGCTAAGTAGTAATCATCACCCTTTATTTAAAGTTAAGTAAAGCTCTGTGCTTCCTTGTTGTGGAGAAAGATAATGGCTGTCATAGAAACCTATTTTGAATGCCATTGTTAAAATATTTACAATAGTCTGCCTAGATTTCAAATTCAACATGTTCATGTAGCTCTTAATTTAGTTTAATCCAACAGATGGTGATTGTGGGCTTGCTGCATGTCAGGAGTTATGCTAGTTACTTAAATCAAATCCAAGGGCAGACATGAAAAATTATCCCAGTAGCATTCATATGGTCTCAGTGGCGGCTACGGTCAAGTGAATAGCTGTTAGAGGCACGTGTTTTAAACTCACTGATTGGGACCTACGCAAGCCCCCTCTTGCCTGGCAGCTGGAGGGAAAGAGCATGATCAGAGAGGTCTTCCCGAAGGGTGTGAACTCATCAATGTTCATTCTACTAAGATACACATTTGAAATACACGTAACATACTTTAGCAAATGCTTGTGGCAGCCAAACAGCTTTTGGAGACTCCAGAGAAAACTGGGTTCATTTGAGTTTTGGATAAAGATCTGTGGAGTTCTTTTTTCTTGTTTATCTGTCATCCTTACTTGTAACCAAAGACACTCCTAAATAGATTTATGTTTTTCCTTGCTAGGAGGAAAGAAAGCTTAGGAGCACCCCTGCTCTGAATTTATTTTCTGTATCCTTCATAGTATTTACCATCTTTTGTTGAAGAGAATATATTATCCCCAAAGTACATTTGTTTTATTCCATGTTTTTAATAGCAACGAGGCAGCTTGTTTCGCAGGTCCTGAATCCATAATTGGGATATAGCAATCTGGACAAATATCAAAGCTTAATTAAATCTTCTACCCTGCTGATAAATATGGACAAAAAATTTATTCTAGGAGACATCATATATATAACATCACATTCTTCCCTGTCAGGTGCCTCTTTGGCATGGGCCACAGTGAGATTAAAACCTCTGCAGATGCAAATTCTATACCTTAATCAGCTTCAAAAAATTATAGATATTGACATTTTCCCCTAAGGTTCCCATTTTTAAGAAGTGAGTTTGATCTCAAGGTAATTTGTATTACCTTTCAAGATTTTTTCTTTGCTGATGTTCCACTTTTATTTCTTGAAGCATTTGGTTTGTGAGAAAATATTAAAGTTCATGTAAAATAATAAAAATGAGTCATGTTAGGTTAATGTTACAAGAACCCCCACTCTCTGTTCCTTGAAACATAGTCTTTGTTTTCCATGCCTCTGAGGGATCCTCTATTGTCTGACCTATTAAATCAATTCTTAAGACCCATTTATTTTCCTCTTTACTATCAATCTCTCTTTGGTAAAGTGAATGCTATTCATTATAAATTTCCTTTAGGTGTCATGATATGTTTAGTTGGAACTAATCTACTAGTTTAAATTCTTTAAAATTGAAACTACTCTTTACTTATGCTTGAGCCAAGTTTTATAATAGAATAAATGTGCTGTTTCTGTTACATATAAAACTGTACTCATAGTTTTAAAAAATCATCTCAGTAATCAGGGAAACATAAATTAAAATAGCAACAAGACACTATTTTTCATTTATTAAATTTGTTTGGGCAAGAATGTGAGGAAAACGGGCTGTATCATATACTATCGGTGTAAGTGTAAACTAGAATAACCTCTCTAGAAATCATTTTGATATGAAAAAACTTAATATGATATCTCATAATATTTAAAAATGATCATGTTATTTTATCAGCAATTGTACTTGAGGAGTTTGTTCTAAAGAATTTTTCATGGATTTACATGAAAATTTATTTATATGATTATTCATTGCTTTTTTGCTTATAATAAGGACAATTTGAGGAACAATCTACATGTTTATTGGTGATTGGTAAAATAAAAACATCACTACGATCAAATAGGATATATCCTTTAAAAAAGTTAGGAAAAGTTTCATGGGATATTCTTATTTAAAAAAAACTAATGCATTTACCAAATTATTTGCATTTTGTGATTTCATTTTTGCAAATCAAAGGATGCATATTTAGAAATATAAAAAATATGGCACATATAATCATCAAATATAAATAATGATTATTACTGCATAGAATTATGAGTCATTATCTATAATTTCTGAATTTATGCAATGAAAATGTGACAGCTATAATCAAATCATAAACTCTCCTGTCTGTTTGACTCCATATTTTATCCTTTTTTTCAGAAATACAAACCATATAACAATGGGACGTCCAATCAAAAGTGGAATTGTGTGGAAGATAGCAAAACTTTTGTGGCCTTTCATAGCACTGCACTGGACAAGGAGATCACAGCAGCAAATTATGCTGGCATTTGTACATCCTCTGTGATTAAAGAGGAAAACGTTGACCAACCAGTAAGTGGTCCTTTTCTACTAAGGATAAAAGAAAAATAGGAGAAAATGGAGTAATTTAATAAAGGTAGAACTTCTTTTTTTTCCTAGAAAACCTTATATTCACACAAATTAAACACTGATTTGTGAATGAAATCACTTACACTGTGTGATTTTGGTTAGGAAACAATGAAGGAATGTTGGTATTACCCTCTTCTTATATTGTTTCAATGGCTCCCTATCATCAGCACCACCTTTGGTCCATCATCAGTTCATGAGAACACTCATGAATGAGGATAAGGACATATGCTACGCTCCCACAGGTGTGCCTGCCATACTAGATGTCACTTGACTCCAAAAAGCATATTAAAGTGCACATGATTGTAAGTGACTTTAACTGTATTACATTATACCACGCATAGGTCTAAATTTGAATACCTATATTCTGATTTTTAGAGGAAATAATTTTTCAAATGTGGACCTGTAGTCTTTATTCATAAGGAATTGTTTCATACTTTACAAATACCTGAGGTATTTGTGGGTCTGTATGTCAAAGTACCTTGCTGTTGTTGATTACTATTGGCCTGTAGAAATCTCGTGATGCGCTATAAGATTCTCTATCCTCTTTGTGTCTCAGTCTTCCCTAAATAGCTGCTCTTCTCCTTCACCCCAGATTCCCTGGCTCTACTAAATCACTTGCATTTGCCCAAATTCACCGTACCATGTTGCATGTCTTTGGTCTTGACTATGCTATCCTCTCCCCCAACCCCTTTTGCCTTTGTCTATGAACTCCTACCAGTTAGCAAATGTGCTGTCAAAGACTAAGGGCATCTTAAAAGGAATCAAGTCAGCTTGAAAAGGGTCCCAGTTCAAAGACAGAACAATTTAAGCATCAGTAAGACTACTGAATGTGGTGCATTGATATTCATCAAATATGTTTAAATCCGTACGTTCATTCTGATATTAAACAAGGATAACAATAATTGATTGATCACAATTAGATGATGCTAAGGAACCAATTAGTTACTTTGAGAGCTTGGAAATGAAGAATCAGGCATTTTTTCCCCTTACTTTATGATCTGTATCTTAGGATAATAAAATAGTAGGTGAGAAGTTTCACTTCATAGGAATATCCCAGCTAATAATTGAATAAGGTATGAAAAAATTTGGAGCCACTATGTTGTAAACTTTATTAAATTAATTGATCTAGACGGTGGTTACCAGTGTCTACTACCATTACAGAGACACAACAGATAATATATGCCCTTTGATGGAAGTACATAATACCACTTATGAAGTGTTCCTCCCCCCAAAAATGTAACTGGAATTTAATTAAGTTTTTCATTCTAACTAATAATTTACTGGAAATATAGGAGATAAAGGAACATGGTAAATGACACAAAAACCATGTAGTCATCAAAATCCTAACTGAATACATAAAATAAATTACAATAAAGGAAAAAAGAGAGAAAGAGTTATAGAAGAACATGGAAATTAACAAAAGAAATTTAAGAAGTATAGAAACCAATTATAATGTATTGAGCTGATTTTGATTCTGTTTCAAACAAATTATAAGAGGAGAGAGAGATGATTGTAGAAATTTGAATACTGACTAAATATTTTACTATATTAAGATAGTATTATGGCTAATTTCAGGGGTGATATTACAGTTACAATAAAAGAATTTTTATCTTTTAGAGGTACATACCTAAATATTTAAGAATGAAATGATATGATGCTTCAAAGTAATCTATGGTAGGAATAAGAAGTGGGGTGGGGAAGGAGATCAAACAAGATTGGTAATTGTTGATAATTGTTGAAGCTGGGTAAATGGTAGAGGGGGTTTATCCTACTTTGGTATATGATTGAAATTTTCTGGGATTATACAACTCATGTTTTTATTGAAAGACACAGGAAAGGAGGAACTGTACAGCTGGTCAGAAAGAAAAGAAGGCAGTAATTATAGAGATAGATGGTAGAATGCAGGCTGAGTTTTAAAGGGTGGTGACATGAAAGTTGTGGGCAATACTGGAACAGAGGTTTCAGTGGACATTTTGGTGTTCTGCTTAAGAAAAGGTTAGTAGTTTAAGCACTGGATTCTTCTACTTGACAATTTTGTTAGAAATATTTTAAAAACTATTTTGTGTACTTTTTCTTAACCAGAATAGACAGAGCATCACTATGTTGGTTACAGTGCCGTGCATCAGATAGTTGGCATACTAGGTTTACTCTGAACTCATCCTAAAATCATACATGCAACTTACTTTCTTCAAGATAATTCTTAAAGGCCATTTGCTGTCATTTTTCTTACTAATAAGAATGCAACTTAGAAGATACATCAGCATGACTTCAATGCAGTATAAACTGGCTCTGTTTGCAAAATGAGTTCTTTAATCAGAGACTGAAATGGACTTCTAAGGTCGTTTTTTTAAAACTTGAACACAGTTGCCACTTTCAGTGGCTTTTTCAATAACTTCTGGTCTTTAGCACTCTTATTTCATCACCTGGAAACTACTCAATTAACAAATCAAGAAAAAACAGATGTTGATGAGAATGGGGGAAAAGGGGAACCCTCTTACACTGTTGATGGGAATGCAAACTGGTGCAGTCACTTTGGAAAACAGTATAGAGATTCCTCAAAAAAGTTAGAAATAGAACTACCCTATGACCCAGTAATTGCACTACTAGGTATTTATCCAAAGGATACAAACATGGTGATTTGAAGAGGCACATGCACCCCAATGTTTATAGCAGTGATGCACACAGTAGTCAAAATATTGAAAGAGTCCAGATGTCCATCGACAAATGAATGGAAAAAAACATGTGAGATATATATATGTGTGTGTGTATACACACACACACACACACACACACACACACACCCTACATTCCACACAATGGAATATTACTCAGCCATCAAAAATAATAAAATCTTGCCATTTGCAATGACATGGATGGAAATAGAAGGTATTATGCTAAGTGAAATAAGTCAGTCAGAGAAAGACAAATACCATATGATTTCACTTATATGAGGAATTTAAGAAACAAAACAGATGAACATAGGGGAAGGGAAGGGGAAAAATACGATAAAAATAGGGAGGCAAACCATAAGATGCTGAACTCAAGGAAACAAACAGGGTTGCTGAAGGGGAGGTGGGTGAGGTGAAGGGGTGATTGGGTGTTGGGCATTAAGGAGGGCAGTTGCATCTTGTGAATTTTGAGGTATTTTCCCTATAGGCCTTTAAAACTTGGTTGCATTTTAGTAAATCTAGATAAAATTTAGATAATTTTTGTTAACTTTTATTAACTTCCAGATAGTAATTGTAGAAGCTGAGTGTGGGTTCGTGGGGGATCACTATACTGTACTATTTTTTGTATGATTGAAATATTTTATAATAAAAATGGAAAGAAAGGAGACCTAGAGTTTAGGTCTCAATGATTTTAAAACTAGTGCCTTTCTTTAATCATATTATCAAGATGTTCTTCTTATGCTAACCAAAATACAACTTCCCAGTTTCTAACAATTACTTGTTCTAAAAGATTATAATTTTACTTTCTCAATAGTTAAATGATAGCCTATCTGATAGAAGTTAATATGATTAATCTGAAGAGTACAGTAATATATCAATTCTAGGATACATAGATTAAAAACCTCTCCTGGACCTGGAGAGGAAGGAAATTACTCATTGTACAAAGGCTCTAGGCCAGTAATTCGTCCTTAACTTTTTTAGAGATACAGACTTCTTATTTTCCCCCCAAAATGCACGTGTATACACAAACACTTTAGTGTAAGTTTTAGGGAGTTTATAGACTCCCCCTGACATTCATTTTGGATGTAGGGTAAAAACTCCTTTCCTAGACCACATCCTAAGGGGTAGCTTAGAAAAAGGAAACTAATATGAAGTAAATATTATATGTTAGATAGCTACTGTATGTTACATACTGATCAGTCTTAGTGATTTTCATACATGGTATCTCATTCAAATAATAAATATGATGAGGACACAATAATTCATTCACAACCACCTTAGCTACTATACAATGGCAATGGTCATTATTGATCAGACTAACCCCATGTAATAGACTATATATCTATAAGGCCAAATGAACAGATCAAGTTATTCATTTCAATAAATCAAGGAAAATTTTATAGAGAAAATAATTAGTCAAATCAATTGCCTGTTATTCTAGATAGAATACCAGGGGCTGACTTACTGAACTTTTAAACTCTATTTGCATTCTACAGGCATAGTTAACCTGGGAGCTCCCCAAATGTATTGCCTTTTTATTTCCATCAGCAGTTTCAAAACAATGTTAAATGTGAATGAATTAATCAAAACTCTAGTTTACATTGTGTGCATGCACGGTTGCCAAAATAAAGCAATTCAGAGATCATCAAGCCTGTAGCACCACGGTCATGGGGACTGATGTTTTAATGAATGAAAAATACATTTTCTGGATACTTTTCAATAGGCTTCTTTAGTAGAATAAGGAAAATCATTGGCATGCAATTCATCATGGAGTACATGCTTTTCTATAGAAATGGTTCTGCCTATAATATTCGTTCAGTTCCATCTAAACAGGGATATTTCAATTTTCTGCCTTTCAGTAATGTGTAGAAAAATGGAAATCGTATGTGCATATAGAGAAATCCGTAGTGAAATTTAAGAATTACATCTTCAAAAGTGTCATATAAATGTTGGCTTTGAATTGAGGTAGCTCTACATACTTAGAGGGAGTACTTGAAGCAATATGAGAAAGGTAAAAAAGCCAAGAACTTGGAATCAAATGTCAGTTTTATATTTCAGTTCTGCCATGTATTACTAGAGTATCCTTAAATGAAAAATTCCCTCTTGGAGTTTCTGTTTTCTCATCTGTAAATTGATTGTGAATGATAATAACTCTGGCTGTATTTAAGTTTTAGCTTTGTGAGGACAAAAGCAAATGAGAGAGTCTATATAAAAGTATTCTAAAATTTTATTATGGAAATTTTCATGCATAGACCAGGATAGTATAGTATAGAATAGTAAACTAGAATATAGTATACCAAGATATACTAAAAATAGAAAGAGTATAATGAAAAATAGAATAGTATAATGAATCCCAATATACTTTTCATCCAAATTCAACTATTATAAAGGTTTTGCAATCTTTACAAACCCCAGACATGATACCATTCCACCTTAAACTTAAGAGTATACTTCTAAAAAGTTTGAACATTTTCTTACATAATCATTATACCATTATGATACCTAATGAAATTAACAATAATCCTTTGGCCATCAATCAAGTATCCTGTTCTTTTTATTTTGATTTTTTTAAAGATTTTATTTATTTATTTGACAGAGATCACAAATAGGCAAAGAAGCAGGCAGAGAGAGAGGAGGAAGCAGGCTCCCCCGTGAGCAGAGGGCCCGATGTGGGACTCGATCCCAGGACCCTGGGATCATGACCTGAGCCAAAGGCAGAGGCTTTAACCCACTGAGCCACCCAGGCGCCCTCTTATGGCATTTTAAAATTTATTTGTCTAGCCCCCATAATTTCTGTAAAAGGAATTTAATACTAGAGTAGTAATTAGATTTATGATCAACATTTTTTTACCAGAATCTTCGTGGGTTCATGGTTATTTCATATTGATCACTTATGCAAGAATACAATGTCTGGATTTTCCATTCTTAGTGATTATGGGTATCAGTGGGCATGAGTAGAACCTAACCTCACATTTAACAAATCTCCCAATGACCTCTCATCTAGTGGCACTCTTTGGTGATCTTTGCCTGAATCAATTATTTCATTAGGAGTTTCAGTAGAGTCAATTCTGTCTAAGTCTATCATTTCCCCCCAACATTTATTAGCTAAACTCTTAATGTAAGGAAGAACTTCAGTGAGGTTCATCCTCTTCAGCTAAGTATTTGACTACCCAAAAATATGGTTTTTAAAGGATGGTAAGATGAATGTTAATTCTTTCTATCCATTCATTTATCTATTGTGGTACAATAAACCACCTGAGAACTTAGTGGCTTCAACCAAGAACCACTTTTTTAATTCTGTGGGCCAAAAATTTGAGCTGGACTCAGTGGGGCCACTCTGCTGGTCTTGCCCAGGGTCAGTTACGTGACCCTAACTTGTGGTCATTTGGTGGTATGTCAGTAGTTTGGTGGTTCTGTGGGGACTGGATGGTTAAAGATGGTCTCCCTTACATGTCTGGAGATTGTCGCTGTTAGCTGGGGGCCTAGGTTCTTCTCAAGGCTTCTTAAGTAAGCTAGCTCAAGTTTGTTCACATTGTGTTCTCAGGGTTCCCATCGCAGCCAAAAGAACAACCTCCAGTGTGCAAGCAATTCTTATGCATCTGCTTGCCTCACATTTACTAATGCTGCTATGGCCAAAACAAGTCACATGGCCTTGCTCAGATTCAAAGAAAGGACAAAGTCACATTTCAGAAGGCCATGCAAACCAGGATGGAGCGGTTTTCTTGTGGCCATCTCTGCAAATAATTGGCCACACTTTCTAATGACCAGTTTTTCCGAGTTATAAATTGGTGCCAGTTTACTTACAAGTATTTTTAGCATCATTATAAGCTCATGGGATTTTATATTTTCAACTACATCCAAAGTGTTTTGGTTATCATTCTTTTTGCTGTCCCCAAATTGTCCACTTTGGGCCAATGGAGGCTCCTTCATGTTGTTGGTTCTTGTGTCTTTTTAAAATGATTCCTTACTCTTGGATGGCTTCTTTTCTTTCCAGGCACCACAAGACATCACTTGCTCTTCTTATACATTTCTTGCCCCCAATCTGGAACTGACCATTCCTGCAGGAAACCCCGATCCTTGACATAAGTTATACTAATTACTGTTGCACTGTCATCGCCTCTTGCCTTTTTCAGTCAACAGAATTTGGAAGTATGTTTTTAAAAAATATAATTAGTAGGGAGCAAAATGATGCATTCATGTTGAGGTCTCAAATTTAGCATTTGGGGATTAATAAAGTGCTCTATTTGTATTGTAAATATTCTTCAAAAATGCTCTCATCCTTTGGATGTACCTGCATAAAACCATCTTTATTCCTTTTTTTAGGGATACTATTATCTTGCACCGACTGGAAAGAGAAAAACACTGCTCTGCTTAGCATGTGGGCGATCCATGAGAGCAGAGAAGGGGCTCAAACAGTTGCTTCCAGGGCTGCCATTCCTCTGTGCCTCGGGCTCCAAGACCCAGAAGCAGTTCTCACGAGGCCCTTTCAAGGTCATCAGTGTGGCAGGGGTATGTAATGACCTGAGCTTTGTTAATACGTGTGTGGCATCACTTTGGAAACTTTGATGCATTCATTATCTGCCTTGCATTCAAGTTCATCTGCACCCATCCAATTCATCTTCCTCTGATGCCCCTTTACCATTCCACATGCATTGATTTCCTCTGGTCCATTGTAATTTAAAATACCTTGTCTATTAATAGTTCGATACAGTCTTTGAAGTTAATTGGGCACTTCTGTGGCTTTAATCATCTACTAACACCTTCCACTGCTCTCTGTGTTGCTTTTAGATGAGGAAGTAACTGCAAATCTTTACACAGTGGACCAGCTTTCTTGCCTATACTCACAGGGCAAACTTCTTTTCACTAGCATGGAACATTTCAGGAGGAATTTGACGTGTTGTTAATGGCTGTTCAGGTTGGGTGCCTGAATTCATGCATCCATGTCTAATACTATTTATAGCTCATGGAGAAAAAAGAAAAAAAAAATCCCTGCCACTTTCCTGCAATCTTAATTTAAAATGACACCACTTGAAAAGTCCTCTCCTTCAAGTTTAGAGTAGGATGTGCTAAAGGGACTTACACACTTATATAAAAAGGAGCAGTTCCTAAAGAGGAACCTTCCAACTTGGTGTGCTCTCCAGGGCTTGCTGTCTCCATTTCCAGATCTTTCTCCTCGGTACCCTAAACTGGATACACAGTGCAGTGGGGGAAGGGTCTGGAGGGGACAGGAACAGTTGCAATAAATTTTAAGTGCAACAGTAACTCTGAAGGTGAAAAGAAGTCAGTCCTCTGGAGAAGACTGAAGGCAGTTGTCTTGGCTTTAGTAGATGGTGGGGTTAAGGAGGTGCTGGTGAGCTGTTTGGAAAGAATCTTCAGTGTTAAAGCATCTCAGAAAGCGTTTTTCCTTCAAAGCAGCATCCTGAGTAGGGAGGGAAAGGGAAAGGGGAAGTGTGGTGTCCACCACCCTAATTATCATGTAGATTAGGACTGCACTCATTCCCCTCCCCATTCATCAGTATCTGCCACCACAGGGTGGCATTATCCTCGGGTTAAAGAGGAAGAGATTATCTGTAGTGCCAACATCCCATTACTTCAAGGCCAGGCTTTCTCTGGCCCCGGCATCCTTTTCCCGCAGCTCCTGTCACAGGAAAAGGCAGAGTAGAAAACAGGAGAAGGCCAGAAACACAAGCCAGAGGCCTAAAGTCACCTAGAGACTCAGTGACAGGGCTGGGAAGAGAACTGAGTTCTGACCCAATGTTCTTCCCACTGCGGTATCCAATACCTACAACATGCAGAGTGAGCGTCTCAAAATTTAGATACCACACCCAGGTGCATGCAAATGTTTCTTAAATTAAGGGACTGAAACATACCAAAACAACAAAAACTAAAAGTAAAAGCTTGAGTAGACCTTTGTGCTTTTTCGTTTTTGTTTTTGATCAGGCTGATTTGTCTTCCTATGAGGCTGAGAAAACGCTAAGTTATTATGAAGAACGCCTGTTATCTTTACGGAGGAAGACCTGCACCCAAGTTGTACCTCATAGTGGTACAGCAGCTATGCACCAGAAGGCAGTGAAAATAATTGCATACAAAAACGGAGGTGGATATCGGAATGGGAAGTTAATTGTGGCTGGAACATTCCCCACAGTAAGTGACTATAACTTAAACATTTCTTGCATCCTCCAAGGTAAAGATAATAGTGATTCTTCTGACAAGAAAAAAAGCAGTGGGATTGAATGATAAATGTCCCTGGCCAGTTTCACCAATTTAGGTTAATGAGATCAAGATCCCTGTTTTCTTTTCTTTTCTTTCTTTTCTTTCTTTTTTTTTTTTTTTTCAAGATCTCTGTTTTCTTAAAGATATTCTTTTAATTGTATTTCTTTGGATACAGACTTAGAAAGAAGGGAAACCAGAATATGTTTTTTAGATTGGCTCCAGAGCAAAGATACATAAAAGCAGTGGGGGGGTGGTGGGAGAAGCTACCAGATTTTCTTCACTTGTGTGATAGAGAGAATGCCCCCCCCCATTTTTTCACCTTCCTCCCATTCCAGCTTCAAGCTGTATGTCATCTGAATATTCTAAGAGCTGCCGCCTCATTTATCATTTGTAAAATCTGAGCACTTATTTGTTGACAGGTTGTTTCATTTCATTCTCAAATCAGAGAAGCAAGAGTTGTGTTAGGAAAGAACTTGTGGTTTCTGTCGTAGAGCTCAAAAGGTCCAAACCCAGCTTTGTCCTTCTTTTGTTTGGTGATTATCTTGTCTATACATTCTGACCAATGCCTTTAACAGCGTATTTTATAAGCCAAATGAAATGTGATATGGACATACCCTGGAGACTTCCTTGAAAACACACACATACACACCTACTTGTTCTATTCGCCTTCTGAATGCAAGTAGCCTTTTTATTAAGATATTATTCAGTGAACGAAACAAATCCCAAAAGTTAGCAACTCCAAGATTCACCCGGAGCACCACAGCTGGCTTGTGGAGTCTTGGAAAAAATGTCAACCTCTCAGCCTGTTTCCCTATCTGCAAAATGAAAGTAAGAATATGTGTTAGTTTGGGTTTGAAAGTCAACTACTCATTTATTTTAAACCGGTTCATCCATACGAAGTGCTACAGTTTTATGCCTTATAAAGCAACAAAGTTAAAAGTAGATCTCTAAGTTGAACACTGCTTAGGGAGTAAATACTCAGATGATAAAATGTATTAACATACATCATCTGCTGTGTTAAATTTTTGAAGCTTATTTTCACAATTTGAGTGGACTAATTTTGTGAAATTATGTAGGACAGTCTGATACCAAAAATTGTCTCTAATCAAAGATCAAGTCTGTCATTATTTAGCTTTCTATTTTTGCAAATTAATGGATTTTCTCAAATTTCTAAAATAATAAGCTCTTCATGATTATTCCCCAGCCCTATCACTCTTTTGTCTCATCAATTCCTTACAATCTGTGTTATTTAGCTTCTTACAGAATGCACGAAGCAACTTGGTCTCACCAGGGCAGCCTCCAAAGTATATACCAAAGATGGAACCATGATCCTTTCCTTATGTGATTTGGTTTTATGGGCGCTAGAGGAGTCTTTCATCCAGAGGGACACCGAGAAACAAAAGAAAGAGGCAGTTCCTGTTCAAACAAAGGAGACAACTATTAAAAGTACAAAAGGTTGGTTACATTCTGTAAGATTTAGCTGATTCTACTTTTCATCATAAAAATGTTAAATGTGATTCTGTGACTAGGTCACCCTTTCTAGAATTACAAAATCACAGGAAGCTGCTCTCCTGTGAAATTGTCATATTGCTTTTACCTTGCAGAATGATAAGAAAAAGTTAACAATTAATGTAAATTTAGTCTTAGCACCAAAACAATAAATAAGTTGCCTCAAATTTATAAAATATATTTGACAACTTAGCTACTTTATGTAACATAAGCAGCTTTTGCTTTTATATTTAAAACCAAAATCAACCAGAGACCACTTAAGAAGGTGGGGCTGGATCAGTAGAATCTCTATTATTTGAAGAGAAGGGGTCCTCTCTATACCCCCTGCCTACAAGCTGTCCTTACTTGCCCCTCCTGTCTCCACCGCTCCTCTAAACTCCCAGAAGCACCGCGAAGGCACCTACCTGTATTGCAGCTCCTAGAACATGTATTCTAATCTGTTTACATCTTTGTGTGTCTCATTAAACTGCATACAGCTTGAGGACAGAAACTGCGTCCCCAGCAACAGTTTGCTTAATACAAATGAGTCTTGCTCACAGTGAATCAGCGAGTGATCTCAGCTTTCCACTGTTGTACAGAGAGTCATGATTTGAAGATTAAGAACTTGGGTTTTGGAGCCGGAATTCCAGGGTTCGGATCCTACCTCTTTTCATTTCTGGCTAAATGATCTTGGGCAAGTTGTTTAACTTCTTGTATCCCAGTTTCCTCATTTTACGAATTCCACACTGATAATCATGTAAATGTATACTCATTTGGTCCTCATAAACACGAACATGTGTTCATAAAACATATGAATAGGAGTTTATATATAAATGTATATGCCACTGAGAATAATGCCTGGTTGATGTTTACTAAATATTTAATGAGTATTAGTGATCATTATTGTGTGTACAGTTGAGTAGGAAAAACCCACTCTTATTCCTGTGTGTCTCTTCTTTACTCTCACATGCTTATCACATTCACAACACTTCTGACACCCAGTGTGTATATTTTCTCCCCCACACCAAACAATTCTGCAACTGGTGTAGGACACCAGCTGGGTGTCCTACAATTTAACTCAGTTTTTCCACTCTCTACCTGGTTATAGCATCAGATCTCATGGGTTAAGAGCTCAGTCCCATAAGACTGCTCCCTATTCCATCCCCACTTAAGCTGTCCAGACCTGTGTTTCTGAACAATTGGTTTAAATTGAAAATTCCCATGATTCCTCCTTTCAGTTGGATTAATTTGCTAGAGCAGCTCACAGAACTCAAGGAAATGATCTACTTACTGTCTACTGGTTTATTATAAAAAGATATGATAAGGAATACAGATGAACATCCGGGTGAAAGAGATGAGTTGGGCAAGGTGTGTGGGAAAAAGGCACAGAGCTTCTCTGCTCTCTCCAAGCCCACCACTCTCCTACCATCTCCATGTGTTCACCAACTCAGAGGGTCTCCAAACCCTGTACTTTTGGGATTTTTAATGGAGATTTCATCATGTAGCCATGATTGTTCACTAATTCCATGTCCAGCCTCTCTACCTACTCTGGAGAGTGAAGAGTAGGGTAGAAAATTCCAAGGTTCTAATCATGGCTTGGTCTTTCTGATGACCAATCTTCCTCCAAGAGTCTGCCCAAAGTCTCATTAGAAGACAAGATACTGGGGCTCCTGGGTGGCTCAGTGGGGTAAGCCTCTGCCTTCAATGCACGTAATGATCTCAGTGTCCTGGGATCGAGCCCCACATCTGGCTCTCTGCTCGCCGGGAAGCCTCTCCCCGCTCCCCACCTCTGCCTGCCTCTCTGCCTAATTGTGATCTCTGTCTGTCAAATAAATAAATAAAATCTTAAAAAGAAGAAGAAGAAGACGAAGACGATGACGGCAAGATACTGCTACCATCCAGGAAATTCCAAAGGATTTAGGAGTCTGTGTCAGGAGCCAGGATCAAAGACAAAATATTTGAACAAGAGATGCTCCTAGTGCTCTTATCACTTAGAAAATGACCAGTAGAAGTACTCTGCCAGGAACATAGGGCAGAGACTAATATATATATTTTCTATTATTTCACAATGATATTACTTGTCTTCTTTTCTAATGAGTTTTTTAAAATAATTATGTCAACATTTAATGCATAGCTAATCATTAAAGCATATAGTTTGGCCTTTATTTGGCATATGAAATATCTGATCTCCAGGTTCTGGAAGATTACAATATCAAAGGCTCTTCTTTCAAATTGTTATTTAAAAGTTGCCTGGAAGTAATGGTATTCACGCTGGGTACTAAAAGGGTATGGCCATCCCTTCCCCTCTATAATCTAGAGGTTATCCTTGAATCAGGCTGGTTCATTAGTGGGTTGCCCCCTTTTACTGAATCTTGGCTTGTGTTATGCCACCAATTTGCATTGCGGAAAACAATTGCTATGGAGATAGTGGTAAAGGGCACAGGCTTTGGAGGCACATGGCCTGGGTTCTAATCCTGACTCTGCTGCTACTGAGCTATGTGTTTAGCCCCTGTTACTCTGTAAAAGAAGAATGGACATACCTCAGAGTATCATTTTGAGATTTACCTGAGATAATGCAGAGGTCTTAGTGAAATGCCCAGCGTGTCGTAAGTTCTCAATATTGTTTGTTTCTTTTATAGGATACTGTTTGCTACCTCACAAATAACCCCCTTATGAAGACCCTGAAATAAATTTCTCTCAGATATCAGGACCAGAAAAGTTGTATCTTCTGAGAAATTTATCTCTCTGTGTGGCCCATGTGAATCTTGAAATTGTGTTTTCTTCTTTGCTTGGGCCCCTAGAATGTTCAGAACCCAAACGATTTAACTCTAGCAAATGAAATGTGTTGCTTTCATGTCCATTCAATAACAAAAATATTATCTAGCATTTTTTGGATGCTCGTCCAATTAAATAGACCAAACACCATTTATTCTAAGCACTTTCCTTTTTTTTCTTTTTTTTTATAGTTTTTTTTTATTTTTAATAAACATATAATGTATTATTAGCCCCAGGGGTACAGGTCTGTGAATCGCCAGGTTTACACACTTCACAGCGCTCACCATAGCACATACCTTCCCCAATGTCCATAACCCCACCACCCTCTCCCTACCTCCCTCCCACCAGCAACCCTCAGTTTGTTTTGTGAGATTAAGAGTCTCTTATGGTTTGTCTCCCTCCCAATCCAGTCTTGTTTCGTTTATTCTTTTCCTACTCCCCAACCCCCCATGTTGCATCTCAACTTCCTCATATCGGGGAGATCATATGATAGCTGTCTTTCCCTGACTGACTTATTTTGCTAAGCATAATACTCTCTAGTTCCATCCACATCGTTGCAAGTGGTAAGATTTCATTCTTTTTGATGGCTGCATAGTATTCCATTGTGTATATATACCACATCTTCTCTATCCATTCATTTGTTGATGGACATCTAGGTTCTTTCCATACTTTGGCTATTGTAGACATTGCTGCTATAAACATTCAGGTGCATGTGCCCCTTCGGATCACTACATTTGTATCTTAAGGGTAAATACCCAGTAGTGCAATTGCTGGGTCGTAGGGTAACTCTATTTTCAACTTTTTGAGGAACCTCCATGCTGTTTTACAGAGTGGTTGCACTAGCTTGCATTTCCACCAACAGTGTAGGAGGATTTCCCTTTCTCCACATCCTCTCCAGCATCTATCATTTCCTGACTTGTTAATTTTAGCCATTCTGACTGGTGTGAGGTGGAATCTCATTGTGGTTTTGATTTGTATTCCCTGATGTTGAGTGATGTGGAACATTTTTTCATGTGTCTGTTGACCATCTGGATGTCTTCTTTGCAGAAATGTCTGTTCATGTCCTCTGTCCATTTCTTGATTGGTTTATTTGTTCTTTGGGTGTTGAGTTTCATGAGTTCTTTATAGATTTTGGATACTAGCCCTTTATCTGATATGTCGTTTGCAAATATCTTCTCCCATTCTGTCAGTTGTCTTTTGGTTTTGTTAACTGTTTCCTTTTTTTTTTTTTTCTTTTAATCTTCCCAACAGCAGAATAAGACAGATACTACCATTCATTTAAAAGAAGAGGACACTAAGGCGTTTTGTCTTTGGCTTTACTCTATCACTATACTTCTTTCCTCCTTTCCTTAGTTTTCTTATCTCTTTATTTTATTCCTCTTCAGAGTATATTTTAGTAAGCCACCTCAGATTTCTTTCATATCTAGTAAAGCATAAGAAAAGAATTTAAAGTATATTTATAATCACATTACTTTAAAATATTTGGTTGCATATGAAATTTCTGATCATATTTATGTATTTGCATCTGGTTTAGGTATTACCTGTTTAAATCGAGTCATTAATGAGACAGGAAATATTTTGAATAAACAAAATCAGGAGGCAAATTTATTCATTATTTATAGTGCATTGGTTATTGTGCCATTTGTTTACTAGAAAACCAGAGAATGAAAGTGAAAACCAAATTGTTTCCAAAGTCTGTGACATCCGATAGTTTGGATGATATAGATAAGTCTCTGCTCACCCTCGTCCTCAGAAATCCCATTGCTATCTGGGTATCCTGCGGTGAACCATTTCTATCTCCAAAGAGTAAGTTTTTTGTTTTTGTTTGCTTTCAAGCAAGTATATAAAGAAGAGAGAAATAAATTTTATGTCACCATAAGAAAAGAATTAAATGTGTATAATGCCAACATAATAACATCACATTTATGCAAAGAACAGGAAGTCCATCAATTAACATGTGCACAAGGATAGCTGTACTATATTTGCAAAGTTGCCTGTTTTTTCTTACTGGAATGGAGTATTCTGCATGGAAAAATGTCTAATTTAGTTGATAAAGAGATCCTTGGTCTATAAGACTGAGAATAATGGTATACATTAGAAAATAACAAATGAGTTTAATTCACACTGAAGACGACCTGTCTGCACATTTTCATTTTTAAGAATTGCACCCTTTAGGCAGTAGGTGGATGTTTAAAAAATGAATGGAATGAATGGTTCCAAGCCAGGCTTTCATCACCTCCAAATAGTTTGTGGAAGTGGAAAATGAAATATAGCTATTGCATATGGTAAATCTATATAATAAAACAGCACTGTTCTTCTTCCCCCCTTCTCCATTCCATAAAGAAATGCCTTAAGCCCTGTCATCTTTCAAATGAGGTTTCTTTTAATGACCCTTACCTTTTAATTACTTGTTTCTAATTGAATCTATTTCTTGGAGCAGAAAGTTCTTTATAAATTATTGGCTTGCATGATAAATTACTGTTGATAACACAATGCAAGATAAAAAACCATGTATTTTTTCTAGCTTTGCAGAAAGCAGAAAAAGTAGAAAAACAGAACTGGTTAAAAAAGGACAAAATTTTGGCTGATCTAGACACCATGAAACACAAAATGAGACTGTTAAAAGGTCAGTATGAACTAAATCAAGTATCACCATGTTTAATTCTAAATGTAACCCCAATTTGCTGGAAGTTTTTTCCTACTATTAGATACCAGATGTTTAACTGAGCACTATAAATATTGTGTCACAAAAGTCACTTGAGCAAGTCTAAAACCTAATATATCTTTTGGTACTGATTTTATATTTGTAACTTTTATATTAAAATGAGTACCACATGAATTATATGTAAATTTTTAAAATTAGGAGAGTATCTGGGTCATCTAACCCCTATTTTAGGATTGAAATAGTCGCTGAAGTAACATTTTGTGGGCTCTGGAATTAGTCCTTAAACAAAACTTTTGGTCTATTCCTTAGGTATTGCTGGGAAAGAAGTTTGGGGGTTGTTTTGGTTTGCCTGTTTGGTGGTTTGGTTTTATTTTTTTTTCCTAAGATTTATTTATTTATTTGAGAGAGAGAGCATGTGCACAGGGGAGGGCCAGAGGAGGAGGGAGAGAGTCTTTTGGTTGCTGTTGTTTAGTTGAGAGAGAGAGAGAGAGAGAGAGAGAGAACAAGCACAAAGGGAGAGGGAGAAGCAGACTCCCTGCTGCTCCATCTTAGGACCCTGGGATCATAACCTAAGCCAAAGGCAGAGGCTTAACTGACTGAGCCACTCAGGCGCCCCTGTTTATTTTATGATCTGAGTGAGGAAGTACTGAATTTTTCAAAGGTCAGTATCAGCAGGGCTTCTTCAAGTTAGGCAGCATAAGATATGCTATTCACAGTCAAAGTGATCAACTGGCAGTATTTGTTCTCCTCTTTCATTCTCTCTGTCATAGAATCTTAGGTTCTAGACGTTATACAATTCCAAACACTTGAGATTCCAGATGGTTCTTTGGGGAGAAACAGTGTATTATGGACTTTAGTGTATTATAATCTAGAAAGGAATACATTTCAGGCTCTGTCATTGCCCTGACAGGATTTCAACTCCTAAGTAGACACACTGTCTGTTGTCAAAAGCATGTGAATTTTACTTCAATAAGCAACACAACTAGTTGTAAGTGCCCTAAATGGAAATCTGGGTTGAAATGACTATTATTCAGTTCTTTCCAAAAGAATTATTGGGTCTACATGAAAAACATCTATCATGACTGGTAATCTCTGCTATTCTAACTACTACACATTTTCACCAAAATGTCCCTTGGGCATGTCCAAAACTAAAGTTTTCATATCACCACTCCAGTATCTCCTTCATTTCTTCTAGCAGTGGGCCCTTTCACCATCCACCCATGTGTTCCATCTTAGAAACCTGGGAGTTATCCTTGGCATCTCCCTCTCTCTCACTTTCTCGAAGCAAACAGCAGTAAGTCTTGTTGCTTCCAACCTATCTTCTCAAATGAATCTGGTCTCCATCCTCAACTGTGTTATCTAAATTCTAGCTATTGTCATCTATTCCTTGGATTACTATAACAGCTTTGTGACTTGATTCCCTGCTTCCAGTCTTGATAGTAGTTTCTATTCTATGCATAATGGGGACATTCTGAAGCTGGAGTGATCAGGCAAAAATACAAAGCTGTCATGGTACTCCAGGCATAAAACCTTTCAAAGTTTCCTATTATCTTACAGACAAAGATGAAACTCTTCAACATGTTCTTTCATGATATGGTCCTGTGTAAGCTGCTCTCTTTCCTTGTTCTCTCCACTCCACCATTTGGACTATTTTTCAGTCCTGGAGACATATCAGGAGCTTTCTTAACTCCGAGAATTTGGCACAATTTAGTTTCCTCTGCCTCAACTTTTCTCTCCCTTGTCCTTTTGGATTGCTTCTACTGATTAAATGGTTTTCAGCTTGCTTGTTATTTCTTCCTAAACTTTCCCTTTTCCACATTAGGAATAATGCAGTTTATCACACCTTGAACTTCCCCTCTGATAATCATTATTACATTAATATAATTACCTGGTCATGTGACTATCTTCCCTATGTTACATTATAAATTCTACTACCTTCTTATTTGTGCTGTGAATACTTGTAGAAGGACTGAATTAAAGAATGAACAGAATTTCAACCATTCATTCCACTGAGTTTTCTAAGGTCTATTTCTGTATCAGATTAAATCAATAAAAACCAACATACTGAAAATAACACCAGGCAGAGCTGCCTTTACTGTATTCTGATTTTATATTATGTCTTCAGCTTTTATTATAATTAAGTATTAAAAAGGCATTTATTTAAAAAAAGCATTTAAAGTTCAGTTGGTATCATCTACAGTATCACTTTTGATAGATGTCAGATGGTGTTCATTATGGAGCAATCCATTAATGAAATTTCTCTTAGAATTTAGTGCTAAGATAAATCTTGTCTCTACTGACAAATTGTTATATTTTCTGCTATTAAATGTAAATTCAATATATGCGTATAAAATACCTACTCTGAGGAAGAACTTTTCTAGTTGTCGGGATTATGAAGATAAATAAGAACAAGTCAAAGTCCAGTTAACTGTAGTCCCTGTTGGATGATGAGCTTCTTGGGGATTGGATGGAAGAGCAGCTAAGTAGATTATTTTCCATTATTATAGCCATTGGTGAATGCAACAAGTATTGATTAAGCATATATAAAGTACTGTGCTAAGCTGATTTTACATTTCATTTGTAAGTGTGGTCATTGCTAGTATTAATCACAATACTAGTAATGACTTTGTAGGATTTTATAATGAAATAAGAAATGTCAAGTATTTACTGCATGTGCAGCACATAATAAATACTCAATAAATATTAGAATAAGGATTACTAAAAAGGCAGCCCATTTTCTGACTTGGGGGTCTTAAAAACTGATCAGTGAAATGAAGAAATGGCAGATTACACCAAAGTATCGCATTTGTTACAAATAAAGGTGATGCTGGGGCATTTTATTTAGTGTGAGAGCTGAAGGGATTTGCCGACTAAAACCTCAGGTGAGGTGGACTTACCCTCCCAAGCACAGATAATGCTGAACCGGGGTGGGCCTCTGATCAAGGGAGAGGGGGTAGGGGAGCTGTCTGGGTGAGATTTACAATTTGAAAGAATAGCAAAGCACTCACGTTCTCTAGGTTTCCTCATTAATTGTTAGCTATTATTGTTACTTTCCCCGGATCTCATATGAACTAAAATAAGATATATGGAGAATGTAATAGGAAAATAAAATAATTTAATCAATACATTTTTCTTGGTTTCAATTTCTATTCTTACCTACATAAATAGTAGTTTGTTATGAACATCTTTCCCTGAACCAAAACCTTTTATGATGAATTTATGTCTCTTTATGAAAATTATAGTGCAAATGCATTCATTTTTTTTAAGACCATTAGAAGCAAGTTGACAAAAAACAAATAAAGCATAATGGTTTTTGCTCTTTTCCTACATTCAAATCTTGGCTTTTAAGAGTGTAAATGATAAACTACTGCTGAGCTCTCTTTGGTTGAGCAAAGTTTTAGTGTTCAAAAGGCACTATAAATAAAATATTTATGTGTCATAAATTAGTGTCATCTACTCTTTATGAATAGAGTAAGCTAAAAACTACATTTGCGTAAATTTGTGTTATGTATTTTTCTTGTACAACTGTGGTCTTCTCCAAAGCTCATAACCTAATGGCATTGCCACTGTAACTCATTGGCTGACTGATTCAATTATGTTTTCTCCACATCCATAAATTGCATAGAATGCTTATTAGGTACGTAGAATTCTGATTTCCCTGAAAAGTCATTGCTGCCATTTATTTTTATTGCTTGATCTATTTCCACAAACTTGAGCTTACAAGAGTGCAGTTGCTTTATTCTCTGCAAATACTAAATTGTTTTCAGAGTTCTGTTTGTAGTCATGGTCTGAAAATCTGCATATTAAGGCTCCCTTGGCAACAAAAAAAGGACTCAATTTGATGTTAGTATTTCCATTATTTTATCCACCTCAGCATTACTTTCTCAAAGAAGCCTTCTCTGGCACTTCAGACTAGGGTGGTGGCCCCTGTGAGATACTTTTAGAGATCCCGTTCTCTGGAGCAGCACAATTGCAATCAATTATTGGTATAATCATTTCCTTAACATCTGCCTTCCCCACCAAACTTGAGACAAGGACTAAATCTTGAACATGTTTGGATTGGCCTCATCTAGCCCAATCCCTGATTGACAGCTGGTGTGCAGCATAAGTTTCTAGAAGCAACATGCGAAAGAAAGCATTATTGTTACTTAAGAAGTTTAGGAATCAGTATGAGACTCAGTGTGAGTTTATCTTCAACATGGAAAAAGAAAACAATTTTGGAAGTATGATTTTTAAATCTCTTTTACAATTTTAAGTGGACTAGCTGGAAGAATGCATACATTTAAATCAACACACTTATTAAATAATGCGTATTATTCTTTGGAGTACAGTATTCCGATAAATATTTTCTCTTACCACAGCTTTTTAACAACCTAAAGGGCACAGCAGAGGTGTCATAAACTAATCGTGCTTGCGGGTATTATTAGATGGAAAAAAAGGCCTCCTGTCTCTTGGGTTAATATTATTTTAGAAGTACTTAATCCCCAGGCTGCTAAGCTAATTGTTTGGGAAAGGCTTATTATTAGAGAAGAGAACAAAGCATATGTTCCATGACTGGAAGAGATGATGGACTATATAGGTCATGGATTCTATTTGACTAAATTACCACTAAACCATATCGTGCAGGAGAGGCCCGGGCCACTGTGGAAGTCAGCATGTTATCTTTCTTTTCCATCTGTACAGTGAATATGCATATCCTGGCTATTTGAAGCCTCAAACTCCCATATGAAGAGGCATTGTTAGATATTATTACCTTAGGCATCTTCGCTTTTATGATATATTTAGTATTTTAGCCTATGCTCCCAAGTGGAATGATTTATGCATAGAACGCCAAACCAATTTATTTGAAATCTGAAAGCCCATCTTCAGAAACAACATTACCAGGGCCTTCTTTCCCCAGGGCGGCGAGTAGCAGCATGTCAGCCAGCCGCCATGGTTCCCAACAAAAGCCCCATGCAGCCGGTGGTGGTGGAGGGAGGCTGGACTGAGCAGACTCAAGAGGAAATTAAACTCATGGAACTCATAAGACATACAGAGGTACGTTCTTCAGGACTCCAGACCTTAAAGACTCTGCCTCTTTAATAAGGTAGTATTGAATTTTAAAATTAGGCTATTAATATGTCCTCAGCATCCGGTCAGTTATGACCAAATAAGCATATGCCAAGCATTGAGTTGGCATTTGGAGAGTAGTTATCTGAAAGAGAGCTAGCTCATATGAAAGTCTGTTTTGTTTGAATGGAGACCAAAAATTATGACCTTAGCAAAAAAGAGAAAAAGGCCCAGTGGATATGTACAAAGGTAATTATAATAAGTGTAGTCAAGTTGAGCCTTATGGCTTCATTGCTCATCACTCCTAAGGGTATGTCTCAATATGTAGAAAGAGCAAGGAGCAAAATACTAATTGCAATGGAGACATTCAGGAGTGAGGAATTCAAAAAGCAGTTTCAGTCCAATTGGTTAATCAGTCAGGATTGCCAGACATAAAAAAGTCGAGTAGAGAAAGGTCAGCTGTTGAGAGAGGACTGGGGATAGAGACCTGGGAAAACTTTTTGCTTTGTGAAGTTTTTCATCAAAATGATATGTTCTTATTTAATAGATTTTCTCAAATCGTGGAATGTGTTCAATCTAAATCTTAGGTGTGTGCCCACGTCAAGGTTACTAGAAAAAAAGAAATTGACATTGCTAGAAATATGACTTCTTGCCAAGCTAAGAAGGATAAATCACTGACCAGGGAATGAACGCAAAGCATTGAACTAGGACATGGCTTGAAGTAGGATGAAAAGCTTCCTGGCAGGGATCTGGCAAAGTATAAGGCTGGCTGCTGTATTTTAAAAGACAGAGAGTGAAGACTCAATAGTCATGCACATTCCCTTAAGATTTTTTGTTAAAGAAAATGATGTTTTGATTCTAATCAAAAACTCATTTGTTAAATGCAGAGAAATTGCTCAGTAGGAGAAACACCACACAGAAATCCAAAAACACATCTCCATTCATTCTCCAAATTATAAATGAAAGTGAAGTGTTTTGCCAAAAAAAGTACCTTATTGTTACTCCAAGGGTTATTATTATTATCACCTTCCTGGTGGCTCACGGAAGCAAGCGGAATTCATAGAAGAGTCCATGACGGGAGAGGGTAATACACTTCCTAAAATTTTAAAAATATTATTTGCAATCATGAGTGTTTCTGTTTTTATCACATTCTTCGTACACACACTAGCCGGGCAGTTCTCTAACCCTGGTATTCGCTGGGCTTTTCTTATCAGGCGTACCTTTCTGCAGTTCAAGAACCACAAACCAAGAGAAACTCTCCAGTTGAAACTACACGTATCGCACTCAGACAGAGCAGCCTGTATCAGCAACCGAATGCAAAACGCGTGTGGATTTATCTAAATGGAGGCAGACCTGAAGATGGCACTTATGCCTGGGGCAAAACTATGTCAGAGGTAAATTTGGTGTGAAAGGAGATGGCTTCGTACACTTAGATTCAAATCCCAGCTCGGCATTTCTAGACTGTCAGGTTCAGCAAATTATTCTTCCTCTCTAAACCTCCTTTTCTCATCTGTAAAATGGGAGTATGACTCTCCTGACAGGGTGGATATAATGATTAAATGAGCTTAATGCTGTCTGACATGTGTGTGAATCAGAATATGACACCTGGCTAGGAGGGACCAATGATAATTAAAACCACTGTAGCCAAAGAGGAAAAATCTAAACTTTAAAAAAGTAAATAGTTTTCCTGTTGTGTTTAAAACCCGATTTGCAAAAGCGTGATTTACTTCCCCATCAGGAATTATTCACTAGATATGTTTTCTGTAGGGAAAACAACAGTATTCTTAGAGAAAACCTAATCATGTTCTTACTGCCCAGAGTCCTGGAACTGTGGCAAGGTTTCCCCTTTTCCAAAGTTAAAACACTGACTAAGGAAATGACGAGTAGCAGTTCATTAATTTTTGTAATATCAAGGATATAGTTGGAGCACCTGGGTCATTCAGACGGTTAAGCCTCTGACTCTTGATTTCTGCTCAGGTCATGATCTCAGGGTCGTGAGATAGAGCTTCATGTCTGCTTGTCCCTCTCCCTCTGTTCCTCTCCCCGTTTGCACCCTCTCTTTTCTCCCTTTCTCTTTCTCAAATAAATGAATAAATAAATAAATAAGGATATAGTCCTAAAATTTGACATTTTGCCTTAGTCTTTACATAAAAACTTCAGGCAACTAATGAATGGATTTTGGTAGACTTTTAAAAAGTCTTGTGGTGATATCTCAAATAATTGGCTTTTTTTAATTTTGTGAAATGTTTTCATATAATTTTTCTGAGTCAAGAGGAAGTCATATAAGTCAGATGCTGGTTTGGGAAGGACAAGACAGGGCATTATACTCATCTGGAGGAGTTCATGGAAGCTCATAAGGGCAAATAGAGTAGGAGGTGCCCCTCAGAAGAGTTCTAGAACTTTATCCCAGGGACTTTTAATGAGTTTATACAAAGAAATATTTGGTAAGAATATTTATCACAGGTATTTATAACACAGATATATTAGAAATAATTTAAACAGGCATCACTGAGGATTTGGTAATTTATAGTACATAGGATAGAGTATTATGACTCAATTAAAATCAACTTTGGAAAGAATAATGACAATTGTCGATGTTCCAGACTAAGTGAAAGAAGCATAACATAAAACGTGTGGAGTTGGGTTCTGTATATACACATGCATACACTTAGAACAAAAGACGAAGCATTTTATTTTTTGCAAGTATTTATCGGATGGTCTGATTGCTGGTGAGCTAATAAATGTGGTGTTTCTTTCTGGTGTATTTTTCTCTGTGTTCTAGATCTTGTAATGGTGAATTCAGATTGTAAGAAAAATGTGTGAGCTAAGGAATCTGACATTCCTCTCAGAGAAGTACTAGCAGCACGTGATCAAGGTCAAATTAGCAGTGCAGGCAGGAAGTTCAGTAGGAGTTCAGACAAGGGGAACGCTGCCCACCTGGGGTGAAGGAGAAAGGCTCCGCAGAGGAATCAATCAGAACCTCTGATGAAACTTGAGAAATGGGTAAGACTTAATATCTTAATGCTTCAGAAAAAGCATTAATAAGGATGAGGGCACTGAACACAAAGGTATGGTTGTTAGGATTCATAAATCATATGACATGGATAGTGCTTGGACCCAGAAACAGGGAGAGAGACCTACTTCTGGAGAGATAGTTTAGAAGCGTATGAGGGACCCTGCAGGCTATCTAGATGAGTTTACTTGAGCTGCTGTAACAAAATATCATAGGCTGCGTGGCTTAAACAACAGAAATTTACTTCTAGTCCTAGAGGCTGGAAAGTCCAAGATCGAGGTGCCAGCAGGGTTGGTTTCTGAAAAGGACTCTCCAGCCACACCTCACCACTTTGTGTCCTCACATAGCCTTTCCTCCTGGCATATGTGGAGAGGGAAATCTCTAGTGCCTCATCCTCTTCTAATAAGGTCGCAGTCCTGTCAAATTAGTGCCCAACGCTTATGACCTCATTTAATCTTGATTACCTCCTTAAAGGATCTTTCTCCAAATACAAGCACATCAGGGGGTTGGGGCTTCAGCCTGTGAGTTTTGGGGAGGATACAGTTCAGTCCACTACACTATCCCAGATTAAAAAGTGTTTGAGCCACTAGCTTTCTCTGAGTAAGGTAATGGTAGGGCATAAGCAATGTGTTACGGAGCTTGATGTGGTCTCAATATGTAGAAAGATACTTAGGAAATGTCTAGAAAGCTTCTGCGTATTGTTTCTTTCTTTCCTTTATTAAAACAAAAGTTCTTTCTGATATCTATCCTTTTCTTTCCCATGCTATCTGTTTTTGTATTTGGAGACTTGCATGAGATCCTTTGTGATCAGTTAGAAATGTTTCCACCCAAGCTATCCGGCTATAAAGAATACATCTGGAGAGGGCACTGTGTGTGAAACAAATAGACAACAAGGAGAGTCGGACTCAGATTTCACAGGGGAGTCTGGCTAACACCACCAGCTCCAAAGAAACTCCGTTTCAATGGTTGGTTGGTACTTTTTACAGCGAGACGAGGAACAGAACACGTATCAATGTGCTTTACTCGACTTTCTGTAATAAAACCCCCAGATGGTATTTGAATCCCCTCTAATGCAGACTTTCTCTCTGCTTCTTTCACTGCTGTGGCTATTCTGGATGATTTAACCACATTCTTCCTACCCACTCTTTGAACATCGCTAGAGCAACTCTCGTCTCCAACAGGCGCAGGCTCATCCGTCATCAGTGCCCTCAGGCGGCTCCCTCTTCAGGGTTAGTGGCTCGTTCCTCAGGGCCGGCATCTTTCTCTGATTTATGGTTGCCCAACCCCTCTTCTACGGTCCTGAAGCGTTTGTCTTCTCCCGTCCCTGCAACATCTCTTCGATTCTACAGAATCTCAAAACCAGTGTTTTCTCTCTCAGTTGCACACAGCTCTCCATGCATAAGCAGAACCCGAAAGCATGGGAAACGGGTCCTTGTGATTTGTCGAGGCAAGTACCCCAGGCCAGCAGGGAGTCTGCAGTAGTCCTGTGATGCCCATGTGGCCGATCCTGAGGAGACCAGTCTCTGAAAACTAAATCCCCAAAATAGATTGTGAGTGAGAACTATGCACAGAACATCATTCCTTATCACGAGCTTTTGTTATTGCAAAATTATAAACATACATTTAGATGACCCACTGTAGAGATGATACCTGGTAAGTTTAGATACATGTGAAAAACTAGGAATTAAGAACGTCTTTGAAGATCATAAGCTGACTAGATATTGTACAGCCTTTCTGTACTGAAAATGCCTTATTTCAGATTTATTTTTAAAGAATTTTGTGAACTCATTAACTTTGTCTCATGTAAATAGATCTTTGTGAAAACCAAGTGAAATAGCCATATATTTAATTCATATTTTGCATTTAGTATATGTTTTTTATTAAATAACATTCATTTTTCTAATTATAAGTAGCACATACAATCTTAATAAATAAAATAGTGACATTTTAGTGGTAGAGTTGGGAAAAACTTAAGAATTACCTTTATGCAGGATCTTTTCAAGCTGCAGTAGTTTTTCCCAGAGACCTGTCCATACGTATTTTTGGACAGTTCCTCATTGCTCCCACCCCAGATAGAAACCCAGTTGTTAACTTGTTGGTTGTCTTAAAGCATAAAAGTGAAAGAAAGGCCATGGACTGAATTGTGCCCCCCATTCCCAAATTTTTATGCTGAAGCTGAACCCCCAGTGTGACTGTATTTAGAGATATGGCTTTTAGGAGGCATTTAAGGTTAAATGACGTTAAATAAGTGTGGAGTCCTAACCTGATAGGATTTGTGGCCTTTGTAAGAAGTGGAAATGAGAGCCCTCTCCTCCCACCATGTGAGGGCACAAAAAAGAACCAGAGAGCTGTCACCAGAAACTGAACCAGCCACCACCTTACTCTTGGATTTCCCAGCTTCCAGAACTGCTAGAAATGAATTTTGTTGTTCAGGCTGCCCAGTCTATGATACTTATTTTGGCAGCTTGAGCAGACCAAGCCAGTGACTATTGTTATGGAAAATTTAGAGAAATCAAAAGAAAAACCATGAGACTCAATTGTCATCTCTACGAATTTTTTTATTATTTGAATAACATTTGTTTTGTGTTCAAATTATATAAAAACATGTAATCACTGAATTAAAATTAGAAAAAGAAAATATACCAAGAGGGAAATGAAAATTCTGTCACCCACAAATCACCAGTTATAATTTTAGTGGCTATATTTCTGTGGTTGCTATATAGTTATAAATTTTTTTTGCCATTGTGATCATAACAGATCACATGGTATATATAATTTTGCAACCTGCATTTTTCACCTAACAAACTATTGCAACTTTTCCCCCATATATTTAACATTCTCTAACAAAAGAATTATTTTTAATGGCATGGTAATCTTCTATCAAAGGGACAGATTATTATTTATTCATTCAGTTTTCTATTGTTTCCATTTTGGTTCTTTCTAATGTTTTGCTGTCATAAAGCATGTTCCAATGGATATATCTAAAATTATATGATATATAACCTAATATATAATCTAATATATAATTATTCATACATATATATTTAATTTTCTGATTATTTACCCAAATAAATTCTTAGAAGGATTGTTAGGTCAAATTATGTAGGGAGAGAGGGAGAGAAAGAGAGAGAGAGAGTGCATGGGGGTGAGTAGGGCAGGGGCAGAGGGAGAGGGAGAGAGAGAAAATCTCAAATTATGTAAACATGCTTGAGAACTTTGGTAGCTGTTGCCAATAGTGAATGAGAGTTTCTGCCTACCTGTTGTATACATGAGGTGTTAACAATGTTAAATGTAGTCATTTAGAAAAATGTATTTGCAGGTTTGACAGGAGGGAATGTTATATCCATGCATTATTTTACATGTTTTTAATTGCTTTTATAA